TTAGCTCTCCTGTGTGAGTAAGTCCTATCAACACTTTTTTTGGGCCAGATAACCTCATATCTCTAGTGCCCTTTTGGGGCAGGCCACAGCATTTAACATTACCACTTAGGTTGTCTCAGTGCTCTCTCAAAGTTATACTCCAGATTAACTCAACACATCACCTACTTAGATGTTTTCATTTTTACATATTATCATATACTCGTTGCATCCAAATCGAACCTTTTAATATCAATGCTCAAATACGTGGAGTTGATAAATGCAGTCAACTTTCGATTTACCAACAATCTTTTTTAATACCAATGTTCAAGTACATGGAGTTAATGGATGCGACCAACCTCTAATCTACCAACAATCTCCCTCAGTAATTCTACTGAGACTCAAACCCGTGACTTCTCAAATCCACCGTAACCTTGGCTCTGATACCACTGTCGCAGAGCTTGTTTCAAGCCATACAAACTTTTTTTCAATTTGTAAACTAAGTGCTTTTTTACTTTCACTTCAAAACTCTAAGGTCGATTCATATAAATGTCCTCATGTAACTCACCATGTAAGAATGCAATTTTAACATCAAGTTGTTCAAGTTCATGATTCAAACTAGTTGCTAATCTCAGTTTCACTCGAATGAAACTCATCTTCATAACTAGAGCAAGATCTCATTATAATCAATGCTTGATTTTTTGAGAAAAATCTTTTACTACCAAATGAGCTTTGTACATTACTAATTTGTCACCATTCTTTTTCAACTTGAACACCCATTTATTTTTCAATGACCTTCTTCCCTTTTAAAAGTTTAACAAGATCATAAGTACCATATTTTTTGTAATGACTTCATCTTTTCTTTCATTGCTTTTAACCAGTACTCTCTATCCGAAGTAGTCTACACATCTTGAAAGCTTTATGGCTTTCCCTCACTAATAACTAAAATAAAATTTAAACTTGGATACCTAGTAGATGGACTGCGCTCTCTAGTAGATCTTTTAGGCTGAGATTCTACATCACCTGATGCCGAAGGTAGCTCTCCCTACTCAACACTCTCAGGTAGAAAGGATTGCCTCTTTGCTCAAAACTGATTACATCTAGCTCATCACTAATTGTGATTGGTTCATTAATATCCTTAAGTTCTATTTTTTGCTCATTTTTACTATTTGTGGTTATTTTCTGTGAAACTCCTGTCGGTGTTGAAACATCACACTCAATAATAATCCGTGTAGTCTTTTCATTTTTTTCAAGATTTGCTATGATTTTTTTATGAAAGAACACATCTCTGCTTTTGACTATGTTTTTCTTCATTGTATCCTATACACTGTACCCAAATTTTTCATCACCATATCCCACAAACACACACTGTATGGCTTTACTGTCAAGCTTTGACCTCTGCTCGTTCAGCACATGTATGAATGCTTTATACCCTAAAACTTTCAAGTGAGAGTATGAAGTATCTTTTCCTATCTACATTCTTTTTGGAATGTCAAAGTCTAAAGGAACTAATGGTGATTTGTTAAGTAAATAACAAGTTGTGTTGACTGTTTTACCCCATAATGGCTTTGGTAATTTTGTCATCTTTAACATACATCTGACTTTTTCTATAATGGTGTGATTCATTCTTTCAGCTATACCATTATGCTGTGATGTTTCAAGTTTTATCTTCTCATGTCTAATCTTATGCTTTGAACAGTACTCTTCAAAGTCTTTAGATATATATTCTCCACCATTATTTGTTCGAATGCACTTCAAGGGCAACTCTGTCATCCTTTTAACCATAGCATAAAATTTTTAAAAATACTACAATACTTGTCTTTTGTTTTTCAACATATACACTCAAGTCTTACGTGAAGCATCATCAATAAAAGTAACAAAATATCTGCTACCACCTAATGACTCAACCTCAATAAAACCACATACGTCAAAATAAATCAATTCCAATCTATTTTCTTTTCTTTGAGAACTCTTACAAAAAGAAATCCTACGATGCTTACCAAATAAATAATAATTACATGAATTAAAAGACATGCCTTTGGTCAAGGGAATGAGAGACTACCTTGCCAAAATCTGTAACCTTTTATTGCTCATGTGTACCAGCCTCTTATGCCACAAGTTGTTGAAGCATCATCTTCAACGACATTTACCTGGTTGTTGTTCAATTGCATCAATGTCTTATATATTGTGCAGCATAGTTTTTTCCTTGCAACTATCATAGATTCTTTAAGAAGCTTCTATCACCAATTCTTTTATCGACTCTTATATCTTTTCTTGTCAAGGATACTAATAGCAAGTAAGTTCATTCTCATATCCGAAATGTGTCTGACATCTTTCAAAGTCAACATGTAACATGTACTAGTTTATACAACAATATCACAAATCCTAACAATCTGCAACCAAAGTCTCATGCTTTGTAAGTTGTAAACAACTCTTTCTTAGTAACACAATGATATGTCGCTCCTGTGTCAACTATCCACTCAATACCAGGATCACCAACTTGATTACAATTACCATGTGTACAAATCAAAGTAACTGAATCACTATCTGAATTACTACTGCAACATTACCATCATCCGAACTCTTGCCTTTCTCATCTTTTCGCTCTTGTTTCAAGATTTTACAGTGTCATTTTATATGACCTGCCTTACCATAATGAAAATACTTCACTTTATTTTTAGACTTGAATCTATGTTTAGACTTACTATGACCTTTTGAGTTTTAACCTCTGTCTATGTTTTTACCCTTGTTCTCTATGATCAGAGCTTGATTCTCAAGGTCTACATCTTTTCATCTTGCTTCTTCATTAAGCATACTGTCATTTATCATCTACAATGTCACTTTGTAATCAAGAGCTAAATTAAGAACAGTCACAACTAGAGTATTTCAACTGTCTGGCAATGAACCTAAAAGAAACAATGCCTTCATTTCATCATCCATCTTAAGCTCCATAGTAGTCATCCGATTAAATATATCTTAAAAGAAACAATGCCTTCATTTCATCATCCATCTTAAGCTCCATAGTAGTCATCCGATTAAATATATCTTGAAAATCACTCAAGTGTTCTGTAATCGATCTTCTATCGCTGTACTGTAAAGTTGTAAGCTTTTTAACAAGCATAACTTTATTCATACATGTTTTTCTCTCATACAATACTGCCAATTTTTTTCAAACAATGTGGGCATCTGCCTCCTGCACTACATGATGAAACACGCTAATATTAATCTATTTTTTAATTGTAGCTAGCGTCTTTCTGCCTAACTTCTTCCAGCTTTCATCTTTCATATTTGCTGGTTTAGCTGAATCATTTAATACTGGCTCATATAAATCTTTGCAGTAAGATGATCTTCCATCATAGGCTTCAAAATTAAATAATTTGATGCTGTCAATTTTATCATGGAACCTGTATCACCTGATCTCAAACAGAATTTACTTCTGTCTTAGGTTATTTTTGTATCGATGTTTCAAAATAACTATCGTTTTGATATCATTTGTTGGGCTTAAAGCAATAAACACAACAACGCATAAGCAATATATCGCAATAAATCTACAGCAATTAATAACAATCAACAATAAAAAATGCAAAAAAATAAAACACCAAGATTTACGTGAAAAATCCTCCAGTATAGAGAAAAAAATCAAGAACCATCAGAAAAATCTATACTATTAAATAATAGATATACAAAGTTCTTCTCTAGCTAAAACTAGAGCTAATCAAGAGAGACAATTGGAGAAATCTTATCAAATAGGTGACTCAACAAATACATTCTGAATTTGTTCCTAGAGAGCTTCAAACCTGATATTCACCATTCAGAATGTAGAACTCTGAATCATAAACCTGCTGATAAAGTTTTAGTTCAATCAGACTACAGATCGACTTCCGTTCAATCAACTCTTACTTCTCTTTTTTCTCTCTACTTTTCTTGTTTTTCTTCTTTTTCTTCTTGGTTTTGTGACCTCACCTTAAAATAATCCCATCTCCTTTTATTAAGTAGTTAAGACACTGTGTAAAAAGAAAGACCAAGGCCAATGACCTTTATATAGTCCAAAACAAATTACATGGGCTGACCCCATTTTCCTAACAAAGATAAAGGTATAGGATGTTCAGGAAAAGAAATGCACTGGAGTCTTCCCGGGGCATAATGTGACATTCCTATGATCAAGTTTTGAGTACTTAAGCATAGGCTGTATCATGCTGACTTAATCTGCTCTCCTGCTAATCCTGGTTATTTCAGTGTTATGAAGTTCTGGGATACCAGAAATCTGAAATCTAATGTTACTCAGGCATGTCCCCCATCCAGAGTCTTCAATTCAAAAGGTTGCTTTTCCCTCCTGCAGTATTACTGAGAGGATGGGAGAATAAAATTTGCTTACCATAGGTGAAATGAATAGTGCTGTCCATTGATAATTGCAAGACCTTTAAATGGAGTTTTATATATATATATATATATATATATATATTGGGCATGTTAATGTTACTATTTAAAACTGTTTTTTTGTTCTATTTCAGGGTTCATCTAGCTTGTCCCAGGATTTGAAAGGAGTATTTCTCACAGCATCATGCATGGCCAACAGGTGATGATTGCTAATATCTCCTGTACTTTGAATATATATGCAATTGCAGCCAGCAATCAGTCCAGATGCAGATCACATACTAAGTGGTTCCAGTAACGGAAGTGCTCATATATGGAAGGTTGGTTTCTTCTTAAAATGAACGTTTCTCGTTCTGTTTCACTACATAATTTGTTTAGCAATGGAAACCAGGTAAACAAGCCTCAAGTGGAGCCTGGCATTTTGAAAAGTTGTCTTGGAGAAGTTACGGTAATAGATTGGTAATTTCCTTTCATTGCATCCATAGTTACCACTGCATCTTTACTTTGTTAAACGACAGGCTTGGTTGTGCAGCTTTTGATTGCAGGTTGTTTTTGAAATGCAAAGCTCCTGCCAATTGGTTAGCTATTGCTTAGGGTGATTCAGGCTCGATTAAAAACAAAAACTCTAAGCTTAAGTTACATAAGTAAGAATGGAATCGAATTCGTGCATGAAAAATAAAATTCGATCGAATTTGAGTTGAGTTATAATCTGACAGTACATTGACTTGATCTGACTTTATTACACTCCTAGTGTCTATTTCCAGTTAGCACATGAAATTACATATACAGACAGAGAACAGTGCATCATCAAAGCTGATATTCAGTCAGTGAAGCTCTTGACCTGATAAGCTGTGGAACCAATTGCAAATACCCATCTTTGTCGCTTTAAATCCAATGATTCGAACTCATCATCATTCATTCTACATATTTTGTGAATGATAGGTGAGCAAATTAGCATCAATGACAATCGCAAGACTGTTACCGTATATGTTACAACAGCAGAACATGTGGTTTCCTCCAATCTGCATAATGCCACATGCACTTATCAGTTTGATTGGAGCAAGCCGTCTTATGCTGCATGCAAAGGAGGCAAAAATGGAAACTGTAATAAGAAACAGTAAGCTCAGAAAAGAGGAAATTTCTATTGAATACACGACAGTGATGCCAATCCGATAGCAAGAAGAAATCGGATATCAATGTAACCATGTGAACAAGTCAAAAACTACTAACCTTGGAGGAAACCATGCTCATAGTTCGTCTATTGGATAATGTAAAGCTCTTGTTTAGCTATAAAGTAGCGACCAATGAGATTTCCAGGTTCCATTATAAATTGTTCCTTGAATGTGCCCATTTGCTTACTAGGAATATCAATAGAAAGATCCTTAAAATTAGGCATGCCCTCTACTTGTAAGCCATCCCCGCAAATAAGAAACTGGTTTCCAGTGATGAAGGATCCTGAGACACGGATCGCAACTCCATCCTGACCATGAGCACGGCATTGAAGTTTTTCTACAACATGCACGAGTTTTTCAGGGGGCCAGTCACCTGCCAATGTACCCCGGATATTGGACAACATTGCATGGATATCATTTGGACCAACGAATTGCTTCCCTGAGAAACTGAAAAAAAAAAAGGAAAAATCCTCTTCATAGACATAAACCATAAAGGCACAATGTGCTGCCCAAGTAATTTTAACCAAGTTCAAACATGTTTCATAACTAAAATACTTTTGTCCACCACAAGCAAATTACTTTTGCCACCTGGGAATTCAACCATAAAGCTTCTTAATTAGCTTCTGCAGAAATGTTTCCAATTGAGTTTACTCTAATGGGGTATTTTATCACCATGGTAGTACATTTGTTGGAAGAATAAAAGTTAATTTTCTTAGAATCATAATGTCCTTTTAGCCTGAAGGGGACTAAAATGCATGAAATATCTAAGCATGGGGATCATTCTGCTGATTGACCATGTAAACAATTATAGGAAGACTATCACTTAATACTTCATTACCTAAAAGTTGAATCTTCATTGTATAGGGTCCTTGCATGCTGCCAGGTTTCGTCAGGTCCATCAAATAGTAAGTAATAGTGTATTGTCAGCATCTGATCATGTAAATATGAATGTTAGTACCCATTAAGCATAAATAAAAAAGATAGGCCTCCTCAAGAATTTGTCAAATATTATACATAAATTCCAAGTTCCAGTAACTTTTCTATGTTAAATCAAATATTTTGACTGGAACGCTTAATCATAGCATAACTGGATCATCTGTTTTATCTTACCTCCAAAGTTTAGAAAAAGTTCATTATGAATGTCTGTGTCAGATACTGAAAGTACTCGGATGTAAACAAACTAATAATTAGATAGATCAGGAGATACCAGAACACCTGATTTTCTAGTCACCCTCGGTGAAGCAGGCCCTTTGACTACTAGGAAAAGAAAAATTCTTTAACATATAGATCCACTAACCACCATAAACTATGATTGATATTCTAACTTTGGCCATGTAATCAGCAGCAGGGTTTCGGGTTCTACACCCCTAAACAAGTAAGAACCTAGAAATGCTAACATACAAGTCAATATGATGTAGATGCCCGATTCTGAACATTTTATGTAGCAATTTTGGGCTATCTTTGAAGTTTAAATGTCTCAAACTTCATGCCTACATCCAATGTTATAATTCAAAAGATGAAAAAGAACTATGAACTCTTGCTCAAACATGTGTGTAACTGTCTGAATGTAATGTAAAATAAGAGTCAATATACTCACATCAGCCAAATCTTTCAGCCTTTGAGTTGGATCAAAAACACTTCGAACAAATGCTGCTAAGTCTACTCTAGCATGCTCCTGCTTTTTAATAAACGGGTGCGAAAGAAGCTGCAATCAGACAACATCAATTCAACATACGTTAGGTTTGAACTGTCATATATTCGTCATGTGGAGTATAAGTTACCTGCTCAGCTGTTGGCCTGGCATCTGCATCCTTCTGCAGGCAAACATCAATAAATGAACAGAACTCTGGCGAAAATTTGTGTTTTGGTGGTGATGGTGATGGATCGTCCAATATCTTCCACGAAAATTCAGCAATTTTAATGTCAGATTAAAAGAACTAATAAATAACACAAAGTTTCAAGCAACGTTCAATGTGGAAAGATCTCTGTTGAAGGCATAGGTACATTACCTGCAACATGAGATTAACCGGTCCTTCACTAGCTGTATATGGAAAATCTCCAGTGCCACACTCAAAGAGAGCAAGACCAAGGCTCCATATATCAGCAGGATAAGAATAGCTCTCATTTCGAATTCTCTCAGGTGACATGTATGTAACAGTTCCAACAAAGGTAGCACACTACAAACAAGTTAGAAGCAGTTGTTAGACATTTATAATAGATTTTAATAAGATAACAGATTATCATCTTCAAGAGCAACACTGGCGAAAATATCTTTGTAACAAACCAACATACACCAAAGGTAATGGCAGGAAAGAAGAAAGCAAGAACAAATTGATTAATATCTAATGACTAACCATTGCCATTGAATTATCTAGGCCAGCACTTATGCCGAAATCTGTTATTTTCGGCTCCCCCTTGAGATTTACAAGCAAATTTGCAGGCTTGATGTCTCTGTGAACCAAATGCCTAACTCCATGCAAGTAGCTTAGGCCCTTTAAAATAAAAGGATACAAGTTGTGGTGTTAACTTATATAAGAAACGCAACATATACAGGTCAATGGCAACCTTTTTCATTCAGAAAACCATAACTGAAACAAGATGAGATATTATTACCTGCAGGAGCTTCCGAAAGACAGATGAAAGGACTGGTTCCGGTATACTTTTCCGCAATCTTAAGATATCTGCCAGTGACCCTCCATCCATGTATTCTAAAGCAATGCTTATTTGCCCCGAGTCAGGGGAATAGAAAGCTCCATGGAATTCCACAAGACCCTCGGAACAAGGTGCCTCACAAAGTGTTCGTATTTCTGTCAAAAGCTGTTGTCTTTTCTCCTAAAATGCATAAAAGTAATATGGATATAAGCCAAATCTACAAACTGCATGATGCTCTTCACTATTGAAACCAATCTAGCCAACTTTTAAGCAACAAACAATCACATCTTTGCGTCAAAAGTACCTTCTCAAATATATTAATTTTCTTCAAGGCAAGAATCCTATGAGATGGAATATGCATAGCTCTCTGAACAACACTGCTCGCACCACTACCTATTGCCCCAAATATCCTCATCTCGTGAGAAGCACACCGATACGTCTTTTCACCTTGATCTGTTTCGTCCACAGGCGAAGATGTGCATTTTTGCAAACCAAGCTCATTGATGTTGTACACTCCATATGATCTACTCAATAAGTTGACAGTTCCGCCATCCGACAGCTTCACACAATCCAAAAAGCATGTAAGAATCAAACTCACATAAAACTCATCACAAGGTGAAGCTTACCATGTAAGAATCATAAGGATCTAGTGTTGATCCAGGCGAGAAGCCCTTCTCAGCATCGAACAAAGGCGCTAGCTTCTTCCTTAACTCTTCTAATCCCGCCATTATAACTCACTATGACAGTAAAACAGGCAATGATGCATTCCTTCTCACACTGTCCAAATGCAGAACCAGTCTCATTTCCTCAAACATCTTGAAATAACATGTCTTAACAAACAAAAAGTTCCATATCAAGAATGAAAAGAAAAAAAAGAATTGTACATATTTTACCGCCCATTATTTCCATGTAACCAACCATGATTCAGAAATCTAACAAAATTAAAAGGAAAATTCTTCTGTAATTATCATCTCATGGCCCATCAAAAGACACAATGACCCAATTCCAATTCCCATGAATCAAAAAAAAAAAAACCCAGAAAAAATTTCTTCTAAACAGTTGATCTTGCATCAAAATTGGAAGAAAATATAACAAATTTGGAAATTTCTATAAAAATAACGTCAAATTCAAGTTCAAAACTTTGTACTCAGCGAATGCATGACCACTGTAAATCCAAATTCAGACAAAACCTACCTAAAAAAAATTTCTACTTCAAATAGAATAATTACAAATAATGTTATGAAAAAGAAAATTTATATATAAAAAAAACCCTTACAAGTTTGAAATCCGTACAGCCAAGTTTTTTAGACAATTTCCATTTGTTTGCTACTTTTCGTAGTTTGCGTCTTCCCCATCCGACACACAATCGAGTTCAGTTCGTTGAAGTTATGTTCTCTGCAGTTCTTTGACCAATCACAGAGGGCCACGTAATAAATTGTTTTTTGCATTTTTAAAAAATTCAGTGCCGAATCTCGATTCTCATGTCGAAACCAGGCCCATGATCTTACATTTTAGGCCAGTTCAAGCCCACGTTTCGCAGGGCTCGATAAATTTATATCATAAAGGCCAATTTTGAGCCGAAGCCCAATTCAGTGTTCATTGATCGGGCTGCGTCAAAGCCTGAACTCGGGTTCTGCCTACTCAGGTCGATCGATTTAGGTGTGATATTATGAAAAAATTATTTTTATATTTAATATTTAAATTTTTTTAAAATGTATTTTAAAATTAAAATTAAACTAAAAAACTTTTATTAAATAAATAATATTTCAAACCTTAGCCAAACTTGAACTCAAAAACTTTTATCCTAAATTTAATTTGATTTGAAATTGTTTTAAAATTTGACAATTTAAAGTACGATAAAATAATATAACACAAATATTATACAAAAATAAAATATAAAAACGATACGACTTAAAATTTTAATAATAATTATATATAAATTTAATAAAACTAAAAAATATATATTTTATTTTTATGGTTTCATATTGATATAACTTGAAATACATAATTTTCATGTGAATTATTATATGAATGCACAAATTTTAATATTTACATGATACAAATATATAAATCATCAGATCTATTTATCTTATAAGATAATCATGTTATCAAGCTTATAGAAAGATTTATTTGTTACTTATATTAATAAATTATATATTATTTTGGATCACCAAAAATAAAATATTATTCATGAAATTAGCTAAATGACAGCTTAAAAAGATAAATATTACATAAAAATCAGGATTAAATACATTTTGTGTGTTAAATTTTTTTTTTTTCAAGGCGAAATGGGATAAAACGAAAAAAAAAAAGAAAAAACCCAAATTGGGTTTGAAATTATATCTTGTATCACAAAGTCAACCCACTTGCTTGGACATGATTATTGAAAACTCCATCATAATTATATTGCTTTGAAGTAGAATCTTAAAATTGTGACTAGAATTTTTTTGAACTTTATTAATATAAAGAAAAGACGTTAAAAAGATTGGATCGAATCAGTAAAATTTGTTTTAATACAAAATAATATAGAATCCACTAACAAAAGTTAAAATTGTGGGCTATATAGAACTGATTATAAGAGACTTTCTTCTATTAAGATTATGTCATGTATGTGTGTTTAATAATATCATGAAATATAAATTAAATATCATATTTTAATATAATTATATAAATCAATTAGATTAAATTTTATTATAATAAAAATAAACATATTTATTATCTTCGAGATTCGTCCATGATGAGAGGATATTTCAATAATTAAAATTTAAAGCTTCATTTTGAAAGTCTTGAGTTTTATTTTTAAAATGAATGGAATAACATTTAGAAATGGTATTATTTAACCTAATATCGATCATGTATATAAAAATAATTTTTTTCCCAAATGGCTGAAGATTTTTTTTTTTTTTTGTGGTTACCGTTTTTTAATCAATCAAAGTAAAACAATTGAAATATATAAATTAATAACGAGAAAAATAAAAATATAGTATAATACTCAACTGATCAGTGCAATTCAACATGTGAATCTTTGAGCCAATAATTGTATAGCTTCTCTAATCATTAAGGCCACCGTTTTTTATCATTTGAACTTAAAAATATTCCTCTTTATCTTCTTCATTCACCCCCCAACTTTTCTCCATCATCCATCACAATCTGCCCCAAATGATAATATGCATTGAATAAAATGAGGCAAGAATCAATGAATCATGAAAAACCAAAAAAAAAAAAAAAGAATCAATGAATTATAAGTAGTCTTCTTTTCACATAAATTTAAGGCTAGCCAAAGGAAATAATTTTTATATTATAGAACTTTTCCTAAGAAAATTTAAATTCCCATTTGATTTTGAGTCTTCCAATCTTTTTTTTTTTTCTTTGTGACCCTTACATTGTGTTTGGTAAGAGGGAAAGAGGGAAAAAAAAAGGATGTTGGATGAAAAAATTATTTTTTTATCTTATTTTTTTGTTTGGTAGAAGGAAATAAAAGAACAAAAAGAAAATGAGAGTGGATTTGCACATTTCTTTTATTTCCAAATCCAATCCTTCCAAATATTAAAAAAAAAAAAAGCTCCTTTAAATTAAATTAATATTTTCATTTATAACTTTACTCTTAATCTTTTTTTTTTATATTTTATTTTTCATTTTTCATATCAAACACAATAACTTTCAACGTTTCACTTATAATTCTTTTTACTACAGTCCCACAATTGTTCAATTATAATAAAAAAATTATATAAAAATCTATAATTTATAAGTGTGGGCTATACTTAATATTTTATTGGACCCTACATAATTATAAATTCTAATTGATTAAGTGTAAAACAATTATTGTAATTAAGTGATATACTCTTGATTTTTTTAATTTTTCTTAATGTTTCTTTTTTTTTTTTTATTCCTTTTACTAACTTCCTTCCTTCTTACCAAACATAACATTAAGCAATCATTGCGTAAATATTATGAGAGAAAAAGATTAATAATTTATACTAAGAGACATTGGAAATGCTGGGATTGTGGAGAATATTGGCACGCATGCATTAGAAAAAAGTAGATATCATATCCAATGTATCATAATCATAATCATAATCATCGTAAGCATGTCTAAATTAGATTAATGCTTCTATCATTGGTTACACCAATTCCCTCTTTCAATTCAGAAACAAGTTATTAATGTGAACTAGTTTTAGGGTCTCATACTTGTCATTATCTTCATCATCAATACTATACATTTAATTAATTCTAATGGCAAGTCTAAAAACAGGCATAATTAATATACTTATCATATGTCGCCACCTCCCTTAATTAACATTTGCAAAATTCATAATCCAATCCCACACCTTTTATTTTTCCATTTTAATATGAGAAAAAAAGTTGACTGCTCAATTTAGATTATACCTGTAAATATAAGCTTATTCACACATGCATGAAAATTATAGGTGATAATGGTTTGATTTGGATTTAGTTTGGATTTTTTGGATAATGCATAAAATTATAAATTTTTAAAATCTAATTCAAATCCGAACTGAATTTATATACGATCCGATTTGATCCGAATCTAATTTTACTTATTTAGTTCAATTTGGTTTATTGATTTCTATTTTTGTAATTTTTTTGTATATTATTTTAATATGATTCTTAATATATGTAAATAGATTTAAGTATAAAATAATTATTTTATTTTATAAAAATTTAATATATATATATAAGTTAATAAAAATACAATTTAGTTCAGTTCAGTTTGAAATTTGATTCAAATCTATTATATTTATATATATATATATATTTAATATTCAAACTTAATTCGAATAAAAAAAATTGATTTAAATCAAACCAAACACTATAATTTTAATTTACTTTTTAAATTTTTTGATTTTTTTTTTACCATTCTCCGTCCTTTTGGCTTTTACCCTTTTTTTTTTCATTTAACTATCAATGTGAAACATGTAAAAAATTGTTGGCTACACATTGCTGAAATATCTTAGAAAGAGTTTGCTAAAATATATATAAAATTTATCTCCATTGTCTTCACTATCACGAAATTCATGCAAGTAGGTTTTGTCGGATTGCCAAGCAAGGGACAAGATCTGATATAACACTGAGGAGACTGAAAATGAGAGAGACCCAACTCCCACAGTTTTATTTGGAATCCGTCCTTATATTATTTTCAGCTTGGTTGTCTGTAACTACAGTGAATAAAAAAAAAGGATCTACATAGATGGAGTAGTGCTACTGTTCAAGCTGATCAATGGAAAAAAAATTCAATAATGGAAGTTAACAGTGAAGGTTTCAGAGTTTCATGCTAATATAACAGTTAAACTCAATGATAGAACACAACAGAGCCACAGTTTCTGAGAGTCGGAAATCAATGTTCAGTGTGGATAATAGTTCTTTAATGCACAAAATATGTGATAAATGAGAAAATTTAATTAATTTATTTTCTTACAATAAAAAATTAAAGGGCCTTAGTTTTTCATGCATATGTACATATTTCGATTGGAAATGCCTTCATTTTCAAAGAGTTTACACTATGCCAAGAGCAAAGATAAGCAAACAGGTTGGTTGAATTGATATGGATTAAACAATTCATTTATAAGGTTTAAGTTCTGTTAGGGCAATTTTAGGTTAAAAGGACAAAATCTGTTTTTTCTTCATTAGAAACAATCAGTAGATAATTAAAAATATTTATAATTTTTAGATCGATATAATATATCAGATTGACTTGACATTTACATTATCACGTTAATTCAGCCACTTTACCATCTTATTCAAATGACTCATTTATTGACTTATCACTCCTGAATGGATGATCGGTGTTTCGATCAGTTGGACCTACCTGATCATAAGTATTTTAAATTATTTTAAAATCTCTCATTTTCAATTATAAATAAAATAATCTAAATATTATCTAAATATCTTATACTCTTATTCTCTTTACTTTCTCTTTCTTATTTTCTTCTTAAAAACTCTCGACTTTTACATTTAACTGCAAAACTCTCAATTTTTATGTTTAACTACTTTTTTTTCTCTCATATTTTTAAAATTTTACTCCTCAGCTTGGAGCTTGACACCAAATTCAATTTATGTTGCCGACAATTCTTTTTGATTAACCATTTGTAAATTTAATATAAATTTCTCTTACCTAAATTTTTAGTCAACAATGGTGCAGTAGCTTGGATAAAACTTAAGGTAGAACGGGTCTTGAAGCAGATCTTACGGATATCTGATTGATTCTACATAAATAAAATACATATACTCTCTGGCTAGCTCCATATTATATATACACATACCTACATATATATATATATATATATATAAAAGAATAATCGATCGAAAAGAATCTCTCTAACTATCCTCACCGGGAGCAGGCCGTTGAATGAAATTAATTAAGTGTTGATTGGATGATTCGTTGACATTTACAAGTATAAACATTTGTGCTTTGGCCATATCCATGACAACTGTGATTAAATTGCTAATTATATATATATATATATCAAGGAAAAGACTTCTGCAGATTGTTTAGCAATCCTTCTGATATGCTATTTGTCCTTTTCATCTTACCTGCCAAATGCCATTTCTTTCCTTCGGCTAGTTTATTTATTAATATAATAATTAATCAAACCTGCTATACATGATCAGTACCCTTATCTCTTACATGGTTGAAGTCAAATTTTTATTGGTATACAGTATACTAGATTGATCGGTACATTCTGGATTTTCTTTTCTTTTTCTTTTTCTTTTTTTTGAGGTTTCAAGTTGATTTCAGTACCATTTTTTGAACAGTGGTTTGATATTATTATAAGTGCAGTGTCGTAGTCATCATTGTAGCCCCATTTATTACACCTTGTCTTTTGCTTCTTTCTTTCTTTTTTTTTTTCATTGTTCCTTGCTGAAAATGCTCTTTGCCTCTCTTTTCTCCCATCTCTCAAACCTTTTGTGACTGTGTTTGCAGGCCTCCCTCACCTGTCCTGCAACTAGGGTTTCCTCTTTAAAAACACTCTCTCACATTCAATAATAAAGCCTTATAAGGAATTTTTCATCTTTCTGTGGCTGCATAGTCTTTTCCATTGGTACAAACCAATCAAAGAGACAGAGATCTTGAAAGAGCCTACTCAAAGGGAAAAGAGGTATTATTCTTTTTCCTCCTGGTTAAAGAACCTAGTCATATATAGGTAACTACAGCTACAAGCACCCTATGGGATTAATGCTTTTATATTTATATATATTCTTCTTTTGCTTTTGCCCTTTCCTTTTGGTTCATTTTGACATACAGCATGATGGTTTTTCCTATAAGGTCTGATCAAGCTTTCCTCACAAAAGAAGTTGAAAACAAATTTATAGATATAAAAAAGATTTACTTTGTTGGAATCTTGGGAACTTTTTGTGATCCTCAAAGATGGAAGGGCTGTTTCAATTTTTGCAACTGTTTGACCAAATTCAAGACAATCCTAGAGTCTGTGCATGTTAATGTAATGATACATGTTTTTGTTTCACCTCAATTCTATTTTTTTTCTTGCTTTGTTTTTGACTTTTGGGTTTTTTTGGCTACAACTTTTAAGATGAAATGTTTCTGACAGTAGTATTTAAATTCAAGGTAAGCTGTTTGGCAGGTCAGAAAAAGCCAAAGTTGTTTGAAAAGAAGATGGCAGAGAGTATTTTTCTTTAAGCAATTTCTCATGAACTCTTCGTAGTCCTTAACCTAGCTGTTTCTCAAAGAAGTCTTGATATATTGAATTCAGAACTAAGGCCTTTTTCCAGTTTAACAAAGTCAATGAACTTCCAGCTTCCGGAAGAAAATCAAAGATATACTACTTAACTAATTTTTACTTTATCATCCATATATATAACCCCAAATTTGACTTCATGGTTGACTTGATGCATGCAATTATTTGTTGCTGAGAAGATGGCTTCTTCCAGCTATTCAAATTCTCCATGTGCTGCCTGCAAGTGCTTGAGGAGAAAATGCATGCCAGATTGTATTTTTGCACCATATTTTCCACCTGAAGAGCCACAGAAATTTGCCAATGTTCACAAAATATTTGGTGCAAGCAATGTTAGCAAACTGCTTAATGAAGTACCACCCCATCAAAGGGAAGATGCAGTGAACTCCCTTGCCTATGAAGCTGAGGCAAGGATGAAAGATCCTGTTTATGGCTGTGTTGGAGCCATTTCAGTTCTCCAAAGACAGGTAATGAGACTCCAAAGGGAATTGGATGCTACTAATGCTGATTTAATCCGATATGCCTGCAATGAAATGCCACCTGCAGCAGCATTCCAGTATGGAAGAAGAACAGAAACTGGTCATGGAGGAACTTCATTTAATCAAAATACTGGTTTTTACTATCCCTCTCAGTGGAATGACCATTGTGGAGACAATGAGAGATCAGGTGATGGAAGCATGTGAATCTATATCATGTAATTATTAATGTAGCTGTATCATTTTCTATGTGCAAAATTATTATAAGGTGGGAAGTCCCATTTAGCTGGCTTTAGGGTTTTCTAGTTATGGAATTTGATAAGGGACCATGTGTCATATCATGGTATTTTTATGATATGCCATTATATACCCTGATGAAATGTTATTCTCAGTGTCTTATTACTTTGTGAAAATGATCTCCATATATAACAATATCATGCGACTGTTCTTGTTTTATTCAGAGATTCTATGTATGTAACATGCCTCTAACTGAAGTTATCAACTAAATTATGTTTTAATTCATTCGTGAAGATCATAAGAGTATAGCTTCTGAGAAGGTTTCCAAGCTAGCATTAAGGTTCATTTTCCTTGGTGCTTGAGTTTAAGCAGCTTGGATAGGATATAAAAACCCATAACTTAAACATCTATAAGATAGCTCCATCTCTATTTTATCAGGCAAAACAGAAGGAAAATAAGGCTTGTAACACTTTGGATAAGAAGCTTCCTATCCTAGCTATATGGACACAATAAAAAAAAAAAAGGCGACAGTGTTCAAAATTGATAAAAATTATATACAATTTGATTTAGTGTATCAATATAAATTATAATATGATAATTTTTATATTTTATATATATTTAATACAAAATAAATATGATACAAAATACATGATGTGCGAATTACAATATATATAGATAAGTACTCTAACCTATAGCTAAATTGTGGTCTTAATTTGGTTATGCACTCGATTTGGTCCATCCCTCGAGAACCGAAAACGCCCACCAATTATAAGTTATGCCTGTTTGTTGCCCTGAACAGTAGTTTTGTAAGGGTCATTTCATATTCAGTACAACATATATTCTTCAGGCCACCAACCTCCATAGTTTATACATAATCCGCACCCACCTTGGCCAAACGTCAACAGTTGCAAACTACCAACTGGTTAATAAAAATTATACTATACTGGTTTATAAGCACTTTATATAAAGTAACAGGATCTTATATATATTGGTTTAATTCTATCAAATTTATGTTATAATTAACTGATAGAGATACAATCATTTTGATGCTTTAATATCATATTGCCATTATTGCCAGGTTCCAAACTTTCTCGATGAATTCAATTTCTTCTCTGATCCACTCTCAGAATTTTCTTTCCTTGAAGGTACTGCATGGCAAACCAAGCTGTAAAATCCGAAATCTAACTTAATTTATTTATATAATCACTATGAGATCCAGGAAGTTTGAACCAGCATCCTCTTTACTGATCCCTTTTACTGTTGTAGTTTTCAGCAATCCAAAAGAGGATCTTCAACAAAAATTAAAGTGGTCTTTTTATGCCATCATTGACCAAGTCACCAAGCAAATCTTCATAAGATTATAACTTTATTTACTTGGCTTCAAATAATTTAGTAAGTCTATACAAGTCAACAGCAAGGCATCTGGATTTATCAACAAATGATAGTTACTGGTAGTTGGTAGTATTAAAATGAAAAAAAAAAGTTATCATATAAGAGCAGCTCACTGTTGTCAATCTTCTGGTAATTAAGGTAAAATAAACATCACCATCATCATTAAGAATTGGTAGTAAAGAGAAAAAAGCATAAGAAAAACCTTTTAACCAACCAAGGCATATACCATAGCCAATTAGCCATAGGACCTAAGTGTGAACAAAGGAAAAAAAAAAAAAAAAAAGAAAGAAAGTGAAAATTAGCTTTTGTGAACAGCCAAACTTCAAGCCATTACGAACCTGATTTTTCCATGGAGACAGACAGTAAAAGTAACACTGTCAATTTGTTGGCTTACCTTACTATACGTACGTACATACATATACATACATATATATATATATAGTGTTTGATGTAAAATTCCAATTAATTTACCAGTTCTCAACTGTCATTATCTGTAACAGTGGGAGGGAACAGGTGCCTACCCTTGTAGGGAGAATAAAGGGATTGTCTTCCCATGTGGAGGGTACGTGCAGCAACAGAAACTTAAATTGCAAGAAAGATCTTTAAGTTTTATATATATATATATATATATATATATATATATATATATAATTTCTCACCTTTCTGGCTTTATCTCAAAATTTTCACCTGTAGACATTAATGGAGGAACAAAATTTACTGCTGATTCACATGCTATGGAAGTTATATATAGCCAGCCAAAATTATCATTATTATTAATTATTTAAAGATCCTTGGAACTACTGTTATGATTTTTTTTCTTTTGTCATGTATTTCACCTTCCTTAATCATAGTCAAAATCAATATTAACCATAAAAACGAATTTGCTTCCCTAATGTTTTGTCAAAAGTACTCATAAAAACTAAATTTGTTATGGCAAGAGAGCTAGCTTTTTTTTTTTTTTGTCTTGGTTCGAAATTCAAATTAATTTGAACATTATGAAAATTTTTTTTTTATAAATTCACTTGATTTAATAATCAATATAAATAAATATGTTTAGACTAACGGAAAAAATGAATATATTAAAAAGACATTTGGTTTACTAATTTTTAAAAAAATTTAAGAGAGAAAAGTTTTTTATTGTCCTACTTTTTCATTTTTTGATGTCGTTAAAAATTTTAAAAAACCAATAATTATATTTTCGTAAATTAAATCAAAAAATCAAATTATAAAAAATAAAATTTTCAGAGAAAAAATATTTTCTCAAGCCTCCTTCCCCTAAAAAAAAAAAAAAGAAAGAAAGAATAGGAGAATCAAAGCCAATTAGATAAAAGCTTGATTATAAGAAATGTACTTTAAAAATGATATATATATATTTATTTATTTATTTATAGAGTAAGGTCTATGATGCTGAAGGTTTAGGGACGTGTCTCCTACTCAATCACCATCATTCTTTAGAAGAGAGGTAGTGAGGAGTGTTCATTATCTTTTTTTTTTTTTTTTGTATTATCACTTTAAATTGATTATTATATTAATTTAAAAAAAAGAAAAAAAAAGTATAATATGACTACACTACATTTTCTACAAGGAACCAAAACTATATATCTTATAGAAATAAAAGAGTTTTGTATTAGGCTGTAAATAAATCAAATTTAAAGATATTCGTATTCGATTTATGTTCGTTAAAAAAATTAATTTATTTATTTATGTTTGTTTATTTAAATAATATATTATTCATGTTTAGTTCGTATTTGTTTAATTAAATTAAACGAATTCGTTCGTGAATATTAAATGAATATGTTCACGAACATATATAAATGATCACATTTATAAATAATAAATAAATCATGATTAAATAAATTTAAATAAATAAACTCAAACGAATATAAACAAACCTTAAAATAAAATTAGATAAATGATAAAAATATAATTTTATTAGTATTATTATAAACGAATAGCAAACGATTAATAAACAAATGAGTTTTAAATAAATTATAAATGAATTTATTCATGAACATAAATAAACAAACAGATAATTGTTCATATTTGGTTCGTTTAATATTCAATATTATTTGTTAAGTTTAATAAATGAACAAAAATCAAACATGTTCACGATCAATTCGTTAAAAGCTCTGTTCACTTTTCACCCCTAGTTTTGTATATACATGCATTAAAAAATATTACATACAAATACTTATTACTTGAAACTTAGTTTTGTTTTTTGAGTTTAATTTATTTCTTAGAAACTGTGAAGAAGCATTGTTACACATCTGCTTATTACAAAAAATTTTACTTTTAGATCAGTGCCTTTTATAAAAGGATTAAATCTTGATTGCTTGTTATGAATTAGATTAACCATAGTTACCAATGTGCAGGTGACTGAGAAATAAGGGAGATAAAAGGGGAAAGGGGAAATATTTGAGGTACAATTTGATGATCTCAAAACTCATTAATTATATGTGTTTTATTTAAGAGTATAATTGAGTCGAGTTAAATTATTATAATAAAAAATTCAAATTCAACTTAAAATTTGTTGTTCAAAACTCATTTCGAGCTCAATCAAGATAAAATTAAGTTGTTTAAATTCAAATTAAACTTGTTTAATAAAAAAAAGCTTGATTTTAAGTTTGATTATATGTTCGAATTCAAGTTTAGACTCGAATTGATATATTATATATATGAGTAAAATAATATTTTTTAATTAAAAATAATAAAATATTTTAAAATTTAAAATTTTAATTAAATTAATAAATTAAGATATTTAAATTCAATTATTTTGATAAAATGAATTATATAAATTTAAACTCAAACTCAATTAAAAAATAATCAAATCCAATTCATTATACCAAATTTAAATTTTATTTAAATGGAATATGAATGATTTATAAAATATTAATATATTATTTATGCCATAATTTAATGGACATACAAAGGCCGGAGCACGCGCGCGCAAACTCGGAAAAAAGGTGTCAAAAGTTGATGTTAATAGCAGGCAGGCCTCAAAGCCATGGGTCCCCAAAGGAAAGAAAGGCATAATACTTTCGTTTTATTACAAGTTAGCAAGGGCCACCACACAACCGCCCAAGAGGAAAAAAAGGGGTCAAAAAGAACAAAAACTGACCCATGAGGTCCAAAACCAAAGACAGCTCTGTTCGTTTACAAATTTTTTGTATAACATTGCAATGCTTTGGAGATTTTGATTGATTGATTGATTAGAGGTGCTTTTGGATGGGGCAAATTGAGGCCCTGCATTTGAACAGGCTCATTCTTTAATCAAATCATCAAATAACAAAAGCTCAGCCATCAAAGATGAGATGAGATTGATGGAATTAATTTGTTCATTTTTTTCAACAGTGAAGAGATTTGAGGTTTCGATACCGACGACTCTTTATTGGAAATGGCGTGTGGTGGGAACTTGTTTGTTTTGAAATTTTAGATATATATATTTTTTAATCAAATATGATTAATCTAACCTTTTAAAGAGTTTATTCAAAATTTTTATTTTAAAATATTTATTTAAAAATTTGATTGAATTCGAATTAAATTCATAATATAAATCTAGATAAAAGGTTGTTAAGTGTATTGAAATTTATTGCAATCCTCCATCCTCACCATTCAATATGAGAAAAAAATTAACAAAATTAAAAATTGATTCAAAATTATAATATTAAGTTTGATAAAAATTGAATTTTTTATTTGATTTTGCTTAAATTTAGATATCAAATGTATATAAATTTAAATCAAATTTTAAATTAAAAAATAATAAATAAAAAAAAGAATCCAATTAAATTATATTTTTTTGTTAATTTTATATATTTTTAAATTTTAATAAAATAAAATAATATTTTTATATCTAAAACTATTTACATATATTAAAATTTCATTAAAATAATGTATAAAAAAATAAGTTTTAAAAATTGATTAACAAAATCAAACCGATTAATTCTAATCCAATTGAATCTTATAAAAAATCAATTTAAATTAGGATCAAATTTTAAAAAGTTATAATATTATATATTATTAAAAATTTAAATTAAATTAAATCCAATTTAAACCGTTGATATTACCGCTGCTCGCCACAGGCCGTTTCCATTTCCCTTTTGGTTGGTGGAATAATCTTATTAAGGGTCCAGCAGCACCCGCACGTTGGCTAGTCATATGTGTCAATTTTTAGGCGATAGTCATATGTTTTCGTGGATAGTTGACCATGATGTAACCATCTTAAAATACCAAACGTTGTACTAAAAAAAAACTAGCACGAAAGCCCTCGTTGAAGGTGTCAAACTAACCATCTCAACCGATATTGAATTTCTTCGGCTGAAAAAGAATAATATGAATCGGGCCTTAGTCCAATGGTTTTAAGCCTCGTGAGCTTGTTAGGTGTCATCAAAATCTTGGCCTACACAGGCCCAGATAGGCTAGCCACCAGGCCATAATTGGTCTACCACTCTTAGGTCATGACCAAATAGCCCAAAAATTGGGTGTATCAGGCCGATGAACGTTCGTCATCAGCTTCTGGTTGGAGGCTCGGAGCTTCCATGAAAACACAACCATAAGCAATTGGATATCGTCGATAAAGCAGAGTATTTAGTTATTGAGCTTCTTAGCCAAGGAATTCCAAGCTACAATTTTCTTGTCAGTACATTCATTGAGGCCGGTGCTATGGACAAGTTAATGGAGCTTCAGGATAGCATGCTGAAAGTGGGGTTTGCACGTGATAGCCTAACATGCAACATGTAATCCATAGTTCATTGAAAGCTATGTGACGAGATTGGAAAAGCACAAGCTGCTAGTGTAACTGAAAATTTCAACACGAGAAAAATGAAACAGCTTTCTATTTCATAATTTCAACATGGAAAGCATCTGTTACAAGGAATTTAGTTGCAGTACAGAATACCACGTGAATTTTTAAGAATAAAGTGTTCAAGTGCAAGACAACGTAAAACTGAAATGGGAATCAGTTCCCATAGATTTCTCATGTAAATTTTAAGTAATCTCATTGGAAATGTTGTTTACTTTTAACCCTTTCAGTCCTACAAAACTAATCTCAAAAGACGATACAGTTTGCCACTCAAGTAACCGTTAACCTAGTGGTGGCAATTAAAGATCAGAAATTTCCATTTTTACATATCCCATGCATGAAACAAGATATTCTGGAAAATGAAATTTCAGCTATTGAGAATGAAAGACTCCTGAAAATTAGAGGTGAACAGATTGAGCATTTTCTCACTGTACAAATCCAAAAACAGCCCTCATCCTCAACATGCGTCACGTTTAGTACTCTTTCACACTGGCCGTTGGGGATGGAATATGGTCTGAAACTTCAGCCAATTCCACATGCTCAACAAAACTCTCTCCATCTGAATTCTCAGATTCCCCATTGCCTGCAGCAACAACTTCCTGGGAGCTGCTTGCTAATTTTTCTTCTGTACGGACATCAGCTTCTGAAGGCTCCTTTGGCATGGAAGATGAAGTTTCTTTGCCAGTAGGGTCATTGCTAGAATTGCTAGATGTCATCCATGTAAACTGCAAATTGTTGCCTTGCCAGCATTTACCATTTACATATGCCCTTTCTGCCGAGTGGTGTGTGCTGTAAGTTATAAGAGCTGAGCAATTCTCCAACACCCCCGATCCCATATCATCATCTTCATTTTCCACATCTTCTAGCTCCACAGAGAAAAGATCACCATATCGTAAGAAGTACTCCTTCAAAACATCAACCTAATTGACAGACAAATTTCAGTTACCTCTCATTGACAACAAAGAAAAATGTAAAAGCCAATTGAGTTTATGCCATTAAGTGAAGACCTTATATTTAGATACAGAAGAAAGACTTAAGCCGAAAATTTTAGGTAAGTTAAAGGGCAAAGAAGCCATATTCCTACAATTACCCAAGGGATCAAAATATTCAGAGGTTTTTTTCTATTCTTTTCTTTCCATTTTTATAAACAGCACACAAAGATTATACTCATATTTTCATCTGCAAGAGCATAAAGCTCTCTATTCATTATCAAATGCCTTATGCTATGCCTTCCACTTTTGGAATAATTCATCGTTACAAATAACTAGACATAATAAGAAGGCCCGTTGTTTGTAAAATGTGCTATTTTCATCTTTTAATTTTCAAAATGGAATAGAAGAAGAATCATGCTAAAACCCATCATCATAAAAATGGAGCAAATAAAATTTTCTCAGATGAGAAAAAGGAGAGAGAGCAACTCACATCCGCAAAACCGGAAGGCAATGGTGGAATAACTCTAAAAGCAGTAGGTCGGTTGTCCAATTTGTACTTATTCATCAGGAATGGATGCCCTACAGGTGCTGACCGACAAAACTGCTGCTTTGAGCTCATAGATTCCTGCAATGGCATGGCAGTACTCGACTTTGGACTGTGAGACACAACATTCTCTGTTGATTTGTTCTTATCTGTCATCGCTACAGTGCATGGTGTTGCTGCAGAACAACCAGGTTCAGAGGAACTTGCAGTTGAAGCTTTTGCAGGATCAGCTGCAACTCCCACTTTTTGCCTCTTAGCAGCTTGCTCAGTCAGTAGATCACCTTTGACACCACTAGACTGAAAAAGGTTGAAATAGAAACAAATGTTAAACCTGCCTAAAATATGGAATAATATCCCACATTTATATTTTGAAGCCCTCGTGTACTGTTTCATCATTCTCGCTCAACTTGTGTCAGAATGTGTATCTAGTCAAACTATTGAAACTAAAAGGCATGCATGTTTGACAATGCTCAATATGCAATAGCTAACAGTGAAGTTTTTCATATCACTTAGCTATAGCATTCTGGTTCATTAAAAAATACTATGAAAGCATGCAACTTATGAACCTGATTTCTACACAAAATGGTTCTTGGGACATGTAAAATTACTTGAGAAGTGCATATTTAGGAATATAGTATATAATGGCTCAAAAAAAGGTAATATAGTAAAGAAAGTTCCCAGTACTTGTCTCTCAAGTTTGTCCAACTGGCGCCGGAAATCATTCCGCTTCTGCTCCAGCATTTCCTGCTTCTTGCGTAGTTCCTCTTTCATCTGCTCCAGAGTCTCTATCTTTTTCTGCAATGGAGGGGGAATCTTGGGACCATTCATACTAACAGACTTAGGGGAATTGAGAGAAGGCACATCAGCACCATGGACAGCATTGCTCTTCGGAGCAACAGGTTGAAGATTATCCTTTCCTTTATTAGCAACAAGCTGAGCTGGAATAACAGAAGCTGTTAGACCACGTGAAATTACTGATAAGCTGCTGCCACTGTTTAGGCCATCATCAGGTATGCTATCCCGATTAGCCCACCAGAGCTTAATAAAGCGGTTACCCATTACAGCATCAGGTGACTTCAGAGCAGCTTCTGCCTCTTCCCTCCTTGAAAACTGGATGAAGGCCCGTTCACTATTTAAGGGAATATAAATGTCAATAACCTCTCCAAACTTACGAAAATGAGAAAGAAGAGCCTCTCTTTTGTTGCTTTTCATGGGAATCCCATTGACAAACAGTGTACGAAGTGCCTTTTGAGTTGGTTTTCTGCTATTCCGCAAACTATCAGTCTGTGACTTGAATGATGAATCCATAAGTTTGGAGCCATCATCCTCACTGCTGATCCGCTTCACCTGATGGGAAGTGCCTTGAGAGCTAGGAAATGCTTCTTGTTCTTCCTTGGTTTCATTCTCAAGATAGTCCGAGAGTGTGAGATCAATTTTATCTTTTGTGTCTATTCTACTTCTTGAGCTACCAATTCTACCCCAAACGGACAAATTTGTGCCCTGTGACCCAGTGCTTCTAATTGGCAATTCATTATCAGCACTATCACGTAATCTGCCTTGATGATGATCAGAGATATCATTGTTTAGCAAGGGTTCCATTTCGTCAATCTTGGGTGAATGTGGTCCAGAGAGTGCAGTCGATGCTTCTGGTACATTGTTATTCCACAAGGGTTGATCAGGATCATACAAATCAGCACCACTTGCACTAGCAGAACCAGTATATGCACCATTCAAACCTAAGGCATCCTTAGTCATTCCAGGCTTGCTACTTTTGCTATGTATACCCTTGTTGTTCATCAAAGCGGTTGAAGGAGGAATACCTGAAGGTAGTGGTCCAGGTCCAGCAGGTGTTGCCAATAGTTGTGCACTTGGAACTGTAACAGGAAGGTTAAACTGTGACAGACTCTGCAAATCAGAAAAGATGTTATTGTTGACATGAATACATGGGGAATGCTAGCTGTTTCTTGTTGATAATAAAGAATCAAAGCCGAGGAAGGAACTTTCCTACCAAGGCAATATGGATTTCATAACAGTGTATGCATTATGAATGAGACGATCAGTTAGATGATGCTACAAATTGGAAAAGAAGCCACTCCAGCATGCAATACAGATCGTGGACAAATACCCATGATGTTAGAAAAGTCTAATTGCAGATATCTCTATTAATGTAATCTATTTAATCAATGCCTAAAGCAGAGAGTTCATCTATAAGCATAAAGTTTCTTGATTTGTGTAAGTAACCCCAACGTACTATTCAGGGGCTTCCCTTCAAGAAGATACTTAAAGGCCAATAGCAATCGAAGCCAATCTAGCAAAAAGAGTAGAAGCAGGGAATATATGTGGTATGCGTGTTACTTTTGTTGGTTAAGGGATGGTTGAAAAGTAAATAGAATATCAGCAAAAGTAGAAGGAAAAAAAGGATGACAGCAAGTACAGTTACTAGGTGTCATGCAAAAATATTAGAAAGTAACATGAGAATATTTTGCAAAATTAGAATATTTACACTAAAACATAACAACAAGGCTCAGGTTAAAGCCCTGCCTCTGGTGGTAGTACAGCATTATAATGTGGGTACATAGCCAACAAGCAATTAAAAGGAGTTAAAATGGAAACATTGCCAACAGTCCTAGGGTCTGTTGGTAGAGTGATGGACTTTTAGCTCCAGATACCAGGGATCAAACCTTGGCAGCCTCAAATACCAAAAAAAAAAAAAGGAAACATTAACAATTAAAAAAATCTTTAACACATTGTTCATCCTATACTTTTTGTTGGTGACCAGAGAAGATAAACTGGATGACTATGGCTACCTTCCTGGCTATCCTCAGTGAAATTACATTGCACACATAACACAATTTTGTAAAGGCTCATGGAAAACTGTATAACCCACCATATGTCAGAATCAAGATAGATGTTAGCAAAATGCATACCTGAACATCTTCAACAACAATACGATTGACACCATGCTCCATTGGGCACATGTCTCCTCTTAGACAAAATCCACGCTCCTCAAAGTCTCTACAACGTTGGCGAGGAATGCCCACATTCAACGAAGAATTCATTGGTGGCCTGAGCGCCCCTTGTAAGCCAATAGGATGGAGTGTATCTAGGCCACCATTTGGTATTCCTGGCATAAGCCCAAAGGCACTCCATGATGGGCTTTGTGCATTTGAAACATTTGGCAATCCCCTTCCTGCAAAAAGACTTGGAGCAATGGATCCTGGGTGAATCATTTGAGTAGCAATATCAACTGAGTTGAACCTAGAATCACGTTGATTCCAAGAAGAGTTATCCCTTCCTCTTCCCCTACCAGGACCAGAGTCTCCACTGAATGTTTGGTTTGACCTAATTCTCTGGTTCAGATCCAAATGTCCTCGGGGAAGTGATGCTAATCCAGGGCGTCTTCTATCAAACTTGGATGTCAACTCTTTGTCTAGAGGCAAACTGTTATAATTTTTCCAGGTTTCACCTGCTTGAGATTCATTTTCTCTGAAAGGATGCCCATTTTCAAAAGGTTTATTGCGCTTTCTGTATGGCCTTGTAAATAGTGGATCCAAAGAATCTCTCTCTAATGATTGAGAACGTGTATCCCGTTTACGATGCTTATGGTTGCGATCATCATCATCCTCATCACTGACTTCTTTCTCCTCAGGATCACTCATGCAATCAGGAGGAGAAATACCACCAAGCTTAGGCGATGAATCTTTCAGCTCCATTGGATCCTTTTGAAATGAATAATAAACCTGTACTTTTACAGCCTGCAAAGCTCTAAACTCTAACCAAATGCAGCAGGCAAACAACTTGAGAAGCAATTTGAAGGAAAACCTAAGAATATAGGAAAGAGTTAAGGTATGTAATAACAACATAAACAGTATTGAAGAAAACAATTTATGCAAAAAGCAAATTGAAATTGCAGTTGTAAAGGACATTTACATCAATGGAATGCCTGAGGGTAAAAGAAACATATTAACATTCAAAAGAAATAAAAATGTAGTAATCCATAGCATCACAGACAACAGAATATAAAGTATACTACGACTATTAGAATTGTAGTAATCCATAGCAAAAGATATGCAGTAATGCTAACCAAACACGCATTGCACCAAATGCTGGTTCACCAAGTGGACATATCAATATGGTACAGATGTTAAATTCATAAACAAGTAAATTCCACCTACTCATGACCGTATTGTTTTGCTTGATATTCTGTTTGTTCCTTAAGCAGGTTAACACAATTTCAAATGCACTAATTATAACAACCACACATCCAAATGAAAGTTCATATGCCCCACAGTCTCAAAAACCATAAATCAATTTTGGGCAGCAAGATCAATGAGCTAGCCTCTATATAAGTCGCTTGCATTTCCAATGCCTCTGAATGAGGCTCCTGATATTACAATAACTCCATTTTCTAGCCCACGAGTCAACTAAGGAATATTAAGTTCAATGTAAACAAACTGAGTTTCTTTAGCTTTATGATGAGTGGTTGCCATAGGCCCATATCAGATACTAGAAGTCAGTTTTCAAATTCAAACCCATCTACCAATGTTAACACAAACCAAACAGATACACAGCTGTGTCACTATAGTTTGACTCTTGAAAGTTGGTATGTCCAAAATCTAACAAAACTCTTTGGTCCCCATCAAAAGCATCTCATCACTAACTTAGGATATCAATCTCATGTTATATTGTCTACAAAATATAACTTGTATAAACTCCAAAAAAGACCTTATGCTCAATAAAACCAAGTCATTCAAATGCCTCAAACTCATACTAACATAAATGCCAAAGAACATACCGATCAAATCAAACGCCCTAAACAAAAGCACTATTTGAACATTGATGTGGTTTTCATGCTCCTTAAACTCATACCAGAACTAAAGTTACATAAAATAGTTGCAAAAAGTCAATGGAACTTCTTTTTCTCTCAAAATGCTTCAAACTTATCATATTAGCATAATAATGAATCAAGCCTACCAAGCATCAGTAAACAAGAACTAAACAAAACAATAAGCTGCCATTCGAGCTAGAGCACACAATGGTAAAAAAATAATTTCCATTCATCCACACACCAGTAAAAACCCAATCCTAGAAATTCGTATATTCCTATCGTGTAAAATACTAAAATTTGTGTATTCATGCCATGTTTTACATGAAAATTGCATGTCACAATTCATGTTGACATAAAAACATGAAATATGTGTTTTTTTATTTTGTTAAACCCATATATAGTTATTGCCAAAATTTTAAACTGTATCACTTTCGTGTCCTTCTTTTGTATTATGTTACCGTATCGTGTTTTAGAAAATAACTATCAGCTGAAACTCAAATATCATTGCCCACAAAGGAAATAAAAAAACCCGGCCCAATAATTCATATTCAGCAATTAGTTATTGCATAAAACCAATTATTCAATTACACAAAAATTTCACTATAACTATTTTCTTTGATCTTTGAGCATGAAATCTGATTTCTCAAACCCTAAACCTAAGGAAAACAAGTCCAGTAACAAAATCGAAACCGCTGAAAACAGCATTTTCCATTTAAACTACAATAAAGCTAAAAGCGACGTAAATCAAAGAAAAGCAAAACCTAATCCAAAACCTACTAAAAAAACATTAAAATTGAGCTCCTAAACCTATGGATTTTCACAGTTTAAATCAAAGAAATGCCACTAGACCAAATTCGAATAATTAAAAATAATAATAATTTAGGTTTCGCAGAAAATTTTTTAAAAAATTTTATATATTACTGAGCAAAAGAAAACTTACAGAATATTCTAGAAGAATAGAAGGGGCAATGTCTTCGGAGCTATCACTTGATTCGTGATTGAATCCGGCCCGCCGTTGAAATGAGAGAAGGTAATTTAGGAGGCGACGGAGGGGTATTTTGGGAAGAGAGAAAAGAGAATAAGTCGGAGAGATGGGAAGGCGGGGGAAGGCAGGATCGTAATAAATTTATTATCGAGGGGTAATTTTAAGTTGGAGGTTGTGAGGAGGATAAGAGATTGCAAGAAAGAAAGGGGTTTATGAGAGTATTTTGGAGGGTTTGAAGAAGCTGTATGAAAATTAAAAAAAAAAAAAAATTACAGACGAGATTTTGGAAAGAGGTGAAGAGAGAGACAGAGAGACAATGGAGTCTGAAAAAAGAATAAATAATATTTTATTTGAGGATGAAATCGAGAAAGGGATATTTTTATTTTGTGCACCATAGTCTTCTTTGAATTTTCATTTGGCTCCCATCTATTTTTTAAAATTTCGTTAATTGGCCAATAGAATTTCATCGTTCCGATCCAATTATTAGTTTCTTGGGCCATTTGGGTACACAGGTTACATACAAAAACTTTCTTTTTTTTTTTTTTTTTTCTTGTTCTCAGCTCTTAATAAAATATATTAAAATCTTAACAAATTTTTTTTTTTTATCTTTGTGAAAATTTTAAGTAGAGTTTATTATAATAAACATAAATTCATTTTTTTCTTAATTCAATGAGCAAAATATGTCTATTGTTAAACAAGTTTGTTTATTAATAAATTATAGGTAATAAATTCAAATTTTAATGCAATTTATTTATATTAATTTTAAGATTAAAATTTAAATTTTAATATTTATAATTTTTTTTACTTATCTCGTATTATGACATTTTAAAATAAAATCACGCGTAATTAAAATTATAATTATTCAAGTTAATTATGCGAGAGAAATGCTATTTGACTGGAAGAGTTAATCAAATTTAAGAATTGAATTTATTTAATTTTAGTAATATGCAATTTAATCCTCCATCTTACCTACTTATGCATTTATTGTAATTTATAAGAAGTCCTAATTGATCACTGACTTTATTATAAAAAAAAATTGTAGAATGAAGGTTTTTTTTTTTTTTTTTATCTTGATCACTTGCTTCATAATCTCGTTTAAAAACTAATCAAGCCCTAAGGTTTTAATGTAAATATATTATCAGCCAATTTATGCTCGATTAATATATTTAAAAGCTTATTAAAAAATTTAATAACTTTCAATGTAAACTTGATTGAGATATCTAAAAGCTTATTAAAAATTTTGATTAAATAATTTAAATTCATTTAATATAAGTTTATTATTAAAAGATTAAAAATATTAATATTTTTAATATTAATCCACTTGAATGGATGGGTTATCTAGGCCCATTTTTAATGAATGGGTTAATCCAATTTTTTTTACTATTATCTCTTAATTTTGAGGCTCTAGGCCCAAAAGGATTATTGGCAAAAACATGTTTTAGGCCAAAAATTATTGGCAAAAGTCGGATATTGTTTGTTTGATAATGTATAGGTAGAAATTTATTTTTGATTACATATTTGAATAAATATCCATGAAATTATTGTTTATTAGTTATTAACTATATTCTATTTTATTTTAAAGATAAGACTGGTCATTAATTTCAAAATAATTATTTGAATTACTAAGAAATTTCATATAAATACACACACATCTAATCTTTTTAATGTTAGAAAAACTCGTCTCATGCGAGACGAAAGCCCAAGCTCACTTAAGAAATCTCAACATGTCATTTTTAGTGAGCTCGTGAGGGCGCCTCAATGTGACTACACATATACATGTGTCACCGATCGCGCACAAGTCCTAGATAAAAAGGGTCGTATGACGGGATTTGCTTGAGATGATACGAGCAACGGATCAGGAAGGATCGAAACCAAAGCCTTAAAGACACATATTTTATCCAAGTGTGCAGGCTCAGGGCAAGGTTGGAGAGCAAGATGAGCTGCGCGGTGTTAAGAATGAGGACCACTCATTGGAAAGTTTTGGAACATTTCAGAATGTGGTGTGGGCAGTTGGGCACAAAAGGATCTGGAGAGGCCTGGAAGTAGGCTAGGTGCGAGGGCATTGAAAGTTCTAGAAAGGTCAAGCGGAGCATAGTGCCGGACATTGTGACCCCCATACGAGATATAGCATCAAGTAAGTTACGATTGCTTTAACTCTCATTCCTAACTCTTTTTCAAGCTTTTAGAGAGTCAATGTAATAAGCAACACAGTCGGTTAGCACATAAAATAGAGTGATTAAAAGCTTATTTAAACATACGAATGATAATTTTTCATCTAAAATCATATGATAATTAAATTTAAATTTTTGACTCGTGACACATGCATACATAGATAAAAATTTTTATTTAAAAATAAAATACATCATTAATTTCAAAATCAATTATTTTGAATTAATGTAAAATCTCAAATAAACGAACACACAACGTTGCCACTTTATACTATCTTGTGAGTAGTGAAATAAATAGTGTGATTGTCCAGCAAAAGAACACTATCCAAAGAAAATATAGTAATATATTGTGATGGGTGTGTTCACTTATAAGCAATTTGAAAAGAACGCTCGCCTTTAGAAATAACTTTAGTTGAAAATAATTTAATCTCAAATCCAAAAGCTAATCAATATTGACATTTAAGAATATCAAACGCTTTAATTATTTCAGTATTTTTTAAATTTAATACACAAATTTTTTATTGTTTCTATCAACAATAATTATTTATTTGCTTCTTACGTTCTATCAATAGCCGAGACATTGAAGAATATTTTGATGCAATATTTTCTAATTTTATAGAATCTAATAGCAATAAAAAACTAGAAAAGTGCATGTTGAGTTAAATTGCATTTGAATTTTGATATGTTTTCCCAAAACCAAAAAAAAAAAAAAATTGTATTTGATAAACTTGGTAAAGATTTCATACAGCTAATTCCATAGCCTAGTTTGAATCCAACTACAATGCATGGCCAAAGCCTGTCTTCAAGGCCTTATAGGGTTGAGAGTAAGCCCATTTAAGAGAATCTTTTATAAATGGGTAGAAACTGGACCCTTTGTTGCCAGGCAGCCAAGGCAAAATGTTCAGTTTCAGTTCTGCTTTTGCTTTGATCGCTATAACCATTTCTCTGACAGCTGAACAGTTTAGCAAAATGTTCTGCTTTTGCTTGGGCTTGGAGCAATAGAGCCATTTCTCAGGCAGTTTAACAGTTCAGCAAAATGTGGCAGTTTTGCTTTTGCTTGGGTCACTGGAACCATGTCTCAGGCAGCTGAACAGTTAACATGTTGAGTTCCAATACAGCTATAAAATCCAATATTGGAAAGCTGATCAATATTTACTGTAGGAGCACTTGCAAGGAAATCAGAGTGAAATATAATATCTTGGACTTAACTCAGTTGATTCGTGTGGCCATTCTTTAGAGTAGCATCCAGCAGATCTGACGTTGAAATCTCAGCACCTGAAAATTTTTCTCTTATCTCCAGACAGTGGCCTCATATGTAAATATATATATATATATATATATATATAATTCATATATTGTACTTTGGACTTTGCTGAACATATAGTATATCTTCATTAATTTCAATTCAGATAGTTACTTTCAGTCATTTGGATGGAACTAAAGTCATCATACCTCTTCTATTAAGTTATGAAGTCAATGACTTTCTTCTAATAAACCAAACTTAAAACAAATACTGTACTGTAGATAAACCTGAAGGACTAGACCATGGAACTTGAACAATGACCATTTGTTGCTCATACTCAAAGTTAACATCTTTTCCATCTATTCTGCAAGCAATTGGCTTGTCTGATGCAAAGACTCTCATTTCACCAGTTCCCTTCACTCCAATTTGCACTGAACTCTCGAAGTCATCATAGGCTACTGACTGGATGGCACCACCAGCATTGTGCATGTTCACTAGTCCGATAGGAGCAAAGTGGACTGATATTGCAGCCAAGACAGTAACTGGAGAAACAGTTATCAGCTCGAAATTGAATGGCTCCAGTGAAATTTCAATGTTTTCAGCTGGTTTGGAGAGGACAAGTTTCTTGGACTGAGAAAAGTACAGGGCAAAAACTTGTACACCTTCAATGGAAATTGGATTCTTGCCACTCTTCCACTCAATATCCTTAGGATTGGTCTTAGCAGTCACCATGTGAGAAAACTGAGAAGCACATTGGTTGCGTCTGGTTTCACGGCACCATCCACCTCCTTGACAGTTGAATGCTCCAATCACACCAGTGTACTGTTTCATTTGAAATCTAATTTGTCAGATATCTCAGATAATGGAAAAGAATCTTGTAAAGTAACTCATCCATTTGGTTCCAGCATGACTAACCTTGTTCAAGTTCCAGATTTTGAGCATGGTCTTGCCATCATGGAGAGGGTCCTCAAAGAGGCAATCCCTGGTTGGAAGTGCATTGTACTCACACCGGAGGATCGAACCATCGGGCAAAACAAGCCGCCTGAGCAGGGGGAAGTTGTGTTTCCCAACAGTGTCACTGACATAAATTGGGCCACCAGAGATTGCCCTGGAGGCAGCATGGAACTCAGCACAAGGGTGAGTAGACTGGAACATGTCCCAATCTGGGTGTATAAAGTTGCCCATCCACAAACTGTTGTAAGCACAATGCACCATGTGACAACCTTGGAGCCAGAATGTGCCATTGGGGTCACCAGATGGATCAGTGCACCAAAAATCATCACCTATAACAACAACAAACAGAAAACACATCAGCCAGGCCAAAAACTACAACATCAAGCCAAGGCTGCAGACAGGCTCGATTGGGTTTCTTTTCAAACGTTCCAACAACAAATTCTTTGTAGTTTCTGAAAAGACAGAAGGTTGGATTTAAGGAACAAGAACAATGAAAACCAGAAGCATTTTTCTTGCATAATTTTATATTCCTTCAAAAATTTTAATGGTTGAACTGACTGTAATTGATACTGAATTGACTTAAATATATGCAAATAAAAAAAATTATTGCAGTGTTCCATACCAACACGACCAAGGCAAATGGCTTCTGTTCCAAGAAACATGAAATCATTGCAGTGTTCCATACTAGCAATAACACCATTCCCTTTGAAATGCTTCCTTACTGAATCTGTTAGTGCTCTATAATAAGTTTTTGCAAGATCAACTCTTCCACCGTAGTCTTCACACAACATTTCCAGAAGCTGTTGAGAAATAACGTATATTAAAGATTCAAACTAGGCTAAAGTCAGATTTAAAAAAAAAGGAAGAAAAATTAAAAATTATGACAAAGATTTGTTAGAAATGACACAACATAACGTGTGACAATAAAAAAGCTATTAGCCGTTTCGTGCCGACCAAACATGTCATAATAACTGAACCAACCGATATTTTGTCTTTATTTGAAAACTAGTCAAAAAGTAAATGAAAAAAAAAATTGAGATAAAACTTACATGGATAACGTCCACCTTGACTCCATCAATTCCAACATTTTCCAGGTGAGAATGGATTCCTTCATAAAGTTGATCAGTCATCTCCGGCGGCACTAATCCGATGCCGGTGTTTACAATCTTATCAACGGCGAGATCCTCCATAGTTTTCTTCAATCCCGGTGACAATTCCGGCTTAATAACCTTAGTTTCTGGCAATCCGGGGACATTAGGCCTTAAACCACCCCAATATCCACATAGGGCATGCCATACATAAACAAAGTCCACAGTGTTGAATTCCTCCTTAAGGTCCTTGATAAAGGCACCCAGGCCCTTGTTAGGTGCACCGTTGGCCAAAGACCTAGGACTTACATAGTCCCTGAACTTGTAATTCTCTTGAAATTTCAATAACCTGCAGGGCATTTGTTCACCCGCCACAGTACAATTCATGCCTTCTTTGGTGACTGGGTCCTCATCGTGGCAAATGGATTGCCACCCATCATCGATCAGCACCAATCCTGGTGGGCACCCACCGTCGACTAGACCTTTGACACCTTCCCAAACTCCTTGAGGGTTCACAGTAAGATAAAATGCATCCCACGTGCACCAACCAAATTTGTCCACGATCCCTGGTGGGGTTTTTTCTTCTAACAGCTTGAAGGTTCCAAGGTGAAACCTGATCACTTTCATGGCTTCCTTGACCAAGTTGAACGGATCTTCACCCACATGAACGTAAAGAACACTCCGGAATCCGGTGGAGGTGACCTTGGTGGACCCGCTTTCGACGCAAATGTCAACGTTGTCATTGGTTCCAGGCTGAAGGGAAGCCCTGAAAGGGCCTTCGAGGAGAGGAAGGAGGAGAATATAAGGCCTGCCAGAGTCTGATTTGTCAAGAATAACCATCTGAGTTTCATTTTCAAGGTCTTTTCCATTGGAACCAACCCAATGAGTAGTCCACCAGACCTTGAACCTGAAAATGCTCATGAACCTGATGTTCTTGAGCTTGCCAATGGGAACAACATGGCGGCTGTTGGATTTAACAGCATCAAATCCTACAAATGATCCAACGGTGGATATTGATTTGTCAGTGGAGGAGCCATAAGGGAAAGGAGTTACTGTGATGTTGTCAGGGACATCGGAGAGAAAAACATGGCCATTCGCAATGAAGTTTGAGCCCTCCAGAGAAATTGGAGACTGCTGGTTATGGCTATCAACAAGGCCTGAAACACCAGAGCTAACTTTGCTCAAGCTTGGAGCCATTGATAACAAACAAAAAAGGCTGCTATATTGTTCGAAAAAAGAAGATTAAAAAATAGAAAAAAGGGTTGCTTTTATAGAGAAAATAACTGAGATTTTGAATACGAAATAGAATCAATGATAATCAGTTTGCTTTGATTCTGTGTTTTGAATGAAAGCTTCAAACTTTGCTTGATTTAGTTGCTCAAACGAAATGGGAAATGCCCAAATTTATAGGCTTAGGCCCCCATGAAATGAAAAGAAACTTTGAGAGGGAAGGTGATGTGGGAGTTTCCATGGAGGAGAAAAGGTTGAAAAAAAGGTTGGGGTTGGCTTGAAATTTACTTTGATTTGTCGTTATTGAATCTAGTGGGTCATTCATATTTCATACTATAATTGAAAAGATTTGTTATTGTTATTTTAGATTATCCAAAAATCTTTTCCAAAAAATTTGCTTTTATTAATTATATGATTATATCATCAGTCATGTGCAAGCCTTGAGAGTCTAAAAAAAAGGACAGATGTAACATTGACTTTTAGGCTCCCTAGATCTTGGTATGACTAGTTGAAAAGAAAACATACATATTAGAGTAAACGAATTTTTTTCTTTATATTTTAATTTGGCTTTTAAATTTTTTTAAATAAAATTATTTAATTACTATTTTCACAATTTTATGAAATTTTATATTTTTAAAAAATTATATAAATTTTCCAAAATATATTATCACCTTCAAAAAGTTATAATCTTTCCAAAAATAAATTTTTGAAAAGTCATAAATTTTTTCAAAATTTTAACTTTTTGAAAATTTATTTTTAAAAATTTTATTTTTGAAAAATTATATAATTTTTAAAGAATCCATTTCAGGAAACTTGAATGTAATAGAAAGAATAATTAAATAATTTTATTTACAATAAATTTTTTAAAATAATTGAGATATGAAGAAGAAAAATTAGGATGTATCTAGCAGTATTCTATTAATTATTAATTATTTATTAATATATATTATATTTCAATTCTTGAATTTGTTAAGAAAAATGAAAAAATGAAAAATATTTCCTAAAATAAAAATTTAATGCTAAATACTTGTTCATAATCAATACTACTTTACTATATTTTGTAATTTAATGCTAAATACTTGTTCATAATCAATACTACTTTACTATATTTTGTAATTTAATGCTAAAGTAGACATATTTTGTAATTTTGTTAAGAAATCAAATCATGGAATTTTCACTATTTATTGGGTTCTAATTACGTGTAGATCAATGTCAGTCGGTTAAGCTTTGATCATCAAGGGGAAATTAAAGAAAAATTAAATAAATTTCTTAGTTGACATCCAACGGTTGTTAATGTGCCAGGTGTAAAATTACAAAAAAAACTGACTTAAAAGTAGCTGTTGAAAGACAATTTTTTTTGTATTTTTAAATTTTTTTTGGATTTAATTTTTATAAAGCATTTTTAAAGGAACATTCTTTTACATTGGTTTTATCGCTTATGTATTTGGGATTTTATTCTTAGAATATTTTATATAAAAATTGAATTTTGCTTTATGAGAAAAAAATTATTCTTTTTCCTAAATGAATAATTCTTAATTAAAAATTTTTTTTGATGTATTATTCTTATTAAACTCAAAATAAATAAATAATTATTTATAAAAATGATCGATAAATATCACATTCTTTGCCACGTGTAAGCATAGGAAAAAATAGGTAAAGCAACCCACCGACTGCCGTATTTTTAAAACATATAAGGTTACGTGGAGGGTAGATAATGCGCCACGTGGAACTTGGGAAAGATGAAATTAATGTGGAGGCTGCAAAGTTGTACTTGGAATTTAAGAAACTTCTGCTTAAACGACCCAATTGTTTGGCTAACAGTGGAGCCAATAGAATCCTTCCACGTATAAACTTCGTTAACGTGCTATTCAACGGTAGCATAAGGGGTATAGTGGGGAACACGGTCGTGGGGCCAAAGTCTTCGGCTGGGGCGCTGGGCTGCCTCTTGTCAGGTCGAAATCAGATGGGCTTGATTGAAAAGATAAGATTAGTTTTTGGTCCTTAACCTTATAATTAGCTGCACTTAGGAGTAAAAAATTAATACTTATAAATTATTTAAATTTGATTAAATTATTATCAAATTAAATTTAAAATTGAACAGTTTGATTTATCAGTAAACTGAATTCAAATATTTTAATATTCAGTTTAAGTAATTTATTAATATAATGGAGCTTTTAATTTTAATATATTTTATTATTTTAATTTAAAAATTTTTATTTTATTTTTACATATATATCAATTCAAATATATAATTGAATTTAAAATCGAATATGAAAATTAAACTCATTTTTATTAAATGTGTCAAATTGAACGAATTTAAATAATTTAATTTTTATTTTGAGTTTAACTAAAATTTTCAAAATTAAAATTCAATTAAATTCGAACAAAATTTTAAATAACAAATTTCAAATTAAAATTAAAATTTTCACTATATCAATTTGATTCTACTCAATTTCATCTTTATACTCGACTAATAATGTTTTGAATAAGAAGGATTTGTTCTTAAACTTAATTTCTTTGTTATTGCTCTAACATGTATCATTCCGAGTAATATTGTTTTACTCTTTACAAACAACTCTTGATTGATATCATGTGGCTATAATGATCGTGACAATTTCTGAAACTAGAAAAGAAAAAGCAAAGCATGCTACATATGGGAAGAGCATAAACATAATATGCCATTTCCATTATGTTAGAACAAAGGTGCCATATGCCCAAAACTCAGACTTGAATCGAACTTAACTTAACATGTGCAAGCCACCCGATCCATAAATAACTTTGGTCATGTTTTGGCCAAGATGTGTTTGATTTTGCTTTTTTAACATAGCTTTTATACGTATCTTTCTATAAACATCTAAATTGAATAATTATGATTGTATCATTATCAAGTTCTTGAAATTTTGATTGCTTCGATTAGTGAATTTTGTTTAATTTAAATGGGATATTGAATACAAAATTTTGAATTCGAATTCGATCTGATATAAAATTATTAATATTAATTTAATTTTAATTAAAAAATATATTTAAAAATATTTTAATATTTTTGATATTCCGAACCTTTTGAACCAAATATATCAAACCTTAAATAAAAAATTTTAAAAGTTGACCGAGTCTAATTCAACCAAATTCATGAACATATTTATGTTATATTTTTTAAATTGTTTATAAAGAATATATCACTTTCATCCCAAATACAAAAAATTCCTCCTTAGTTTATAAAATGTATAATCACTTGTCATAGAAATTAATTTTGGCAAGCATGCATTTAATCTTGGAATTAAATTTCATATCCAAAAAACTTCTTTCTTGAATAATTGTGTGTAATTTGATAATTATATGATTATTGACCTTCATTTTTTAATCATATGAAATCTATCATTTTTATCTTTCGCTTCGTGGCCTAGTAGCTAGAAGCCTTTAGAAAGATAAAGACTTGTTTTTGAATCAAATATCTTCCCTCTTCTCTTGTAATAAGATTTTATCTTTTTTTAAAATAAAAAACAAATCTATCATTTTTAAATTATTTTTAACAAAAAAAAAAGTTTTATGCTTGATTATTTATTAACTTTTAAACTAACATTTATTTGTTTATACTAGGTTTTGATAATTTTTTTTTCAAATTAATAGTCTTTCAATTAGCACGCCCGCTAAAACGACATGTCGTTTCTTCCAATTGGTTCCTGTCAAATTGAACCATCTCCCGTATTTTAGGAAATTATCTGAAGCTAATCTGATTGTGAAGAAGTTTAATGGGTTTGATTTAGTTGTTCAAAACTGTTTGATTAATGCTAATATTCAGTGGGAAATTTTGGGGAAAGCTCGAAATCTGTTCGACGAAATGCCCGAAAGAAGCGAGGTTACATGGACAATGTTGATTTCGGGGTTAATGAAATAGGGAGGAGTGCAAGAATCAATGTGGTATTCTGAAAGGAACCCATTTAACAATGTGGTGTCGTGGACTACTGGGATTAGTGGGTTCGTGAAGAACTGGTCCAATTTTCATGGTTTGAAGCTTTTTGTAAGGTCGCTTGAATCCGCGGTTTTAGCCAAATCAAGTTACTTTTACTTCTTCAGTTAGCGCGTGTACAGAAATGAGTGATTTTTTTTTTAATTTTCAAGGGGTAAAAGCCGTACAATAAAAGAAAGGGGAGAATGCTAGGGTTAAATTTTAGTCGAGTGTCTTTGTCACGGATCTAAAAAAAAATTTTAAATCACACATCAAATATAAAAGGAATGTCATTGAGATATAAAAAGGTTAATACCATCTTTTCACAAATCTAAGGAAAAATTTTGAATCTCACATCGAAAATAAAAAGATGATCACTGGGGTATAAAAATATTCATATCATTTCTTTCATGTGAAGCACTTTTTGTAAGATAAAATTATGAGGTCAGGGGATCAGAGCGGACAATACCTTATAAGGGTGTGAATCTTAACAGTTAGGCTGATCTGAGACGTCGGATGAGTGAACGCCCAGGTCCAGAAGCCGTGCAAGCCTAAAAATTGAGTCTCGACCCATGACAAGTGGTATCAGTGCCAGCCCTAAATCGTTCGATTTACGTCAAGTGGCTTGAGGGAGGTAAGCAGAGTGGCCAGCCTCCGTGACGAGGGCATCACAAGATTGGCCATCGTCATGAAGGTGGGCTAAAGATTGAGTCTCGACCCATGACAAATGGTATCGGAGTTAGTTATAAACCGTTCGATTTATGTCAAGCACTTCAAGCGAAGTAGGTAGGGTGGCTAGCTTCCGTGTCGAAGGCGTCACGAGATTGGGTAAGGGAGAATATCACGGACCTAAAGAGGAGTCATGAATCCCACATCGAATATAAAAAAAAAGTCACTGAGGTATAAAAGGGTTCACACCATCTTTTTCTTATGAGGCGCTTTTTGTAGGATAAAATCGTGAGACCAAAGGGGTCAGAGCGGACAATACCTCACAAAGGTGTGAATCGTGACAATTAGGCTGATCTGAGACATTAGATGAGTGCATGTCTAGGTCCCGAAGCCACACGGGTTCGGAGCTTAAGTTTCGACTTGTGACATCTTCACTGGGCCAAAAAGCTGAAAACAAAAATTGCAAATAAGTGTTTTGGGTCGATAGCAACCTCGACAATTCGTGTCATTGAGTTATGTTTTGTGTTAGACACAATTTTAAATATAACATAAATAATTTTGATACAAATATGACATAAATATTTTAATGGTATGAATAATTAAAATATGAATATGACATATTTATTATATGTATTACATGCGTACGATATGATTAATATATTTAAATTTGTTTTAGGAATTAGTAACATGATATAATACAATTATACATGATTAACATAATTAGCACTGAAATATTTAATCAATAATTCAACATTAAATCAAAATAATAAAATATGGTTATATATGTGTTATAAATATGTCATTTATATGTAAATACGATAATATGATTAAAAAAATTAATTAATTAATCATATCTTAAACGTGTAATATACGTAAAACACGAAGCACGACATGTGTAATGTCATGTTTTAAATGTATCAATACGATTAAGATACGAAATATGATTATAAAAAATATATATAATTTATTATGTATTATATTCATATTATGTTATCATATCATATCTAAAATTATTAAATTTAGTTGATAGTTAAAACCGGTTTGAGGATAATGTATCGGTTTTGTAACTCCTTGATAACATTGTGTTCAAGAATGCGTGATTTTGATCTAGCAAGGAGGATGTTTGATCGCGTGGAAAGGAGAGAAGTCGTTTTTTGGAAGACGATGCTAGATACGTATGTCGACATGGGGGACTTGTAAGAGGCAAGGAGGGTTTGTAATTAGATGCCAGAAAGAAATAAATATTCTCGGAGTGCAATTATTACTTCGGATTGGTTCGAAAGCTTTTTTTTTTATTCGATTTTAATCAAATATAAATATAAATACAAATATATAGATATTAAATTTAAATAATTTTTTTAATTTATATCACTTTTATATCGTATTTTAAATTGAGATATAATGTATAATAAAAGCAACCACGTGGATAACAATGAAGTCGACGAAATGCCATGTGACAAGTACATAACCTAACCATATTACATCAATTATTTAATTTTTAATTACGTAAAAAATGAAATCTTATTAAGCAAATGGGTCCCCAAGCAACGACCCCAATTTACTCGTATCCTTTGGAATCGTCAAAGAACAAGAAACATTAAAAACAAAACATAAAAGCTAGAAGACAAAGCTATGGTCTCACATGCTGCAAATTGCCTGCCAAAAAATTGATCTAAAAGAATCCTTGACCTTCTACACAAAATGAATCCTTGAAATTAATGAAAAACTTGGTTTGAACTCACTTATGTTAATTATTATTGGGTTCTTGATGCCTCATCTGAACTGCAAGTCCTAGAAGACTTGGAAGTAGTAGCGGAACCTTGAATTTTTCTCACTGCATTTGATATGAAACTGTCTGTGCTATAAGACCTTGTTGAACTTGCTGTTTCTAGCACACTAGCATTAAGGAATGGAGGCTGGTTAGGTATGGGAATTTCACAGTCTTTATCAGTTAGCATGTGAACTACTTGTGCCATTGATGGTCTCGAGGGAACTGATGCTTGTGTGCACAATAGCCCGATTTGAAGCACATTTGGGGCCTCTTTTGCTGAAATTTCATTTCTTATGCAACTGTCAACAGCTTCAGCCAATTTATTTGATCTGTAAAGTGTCCAAACCTGAGGATGAAAATCCCATATCAGAATTCTCATTTCATTTCCCTTATATCTGAAACTTTTGTACAAGAGTTTAGGAGCTTACTGTTTGTAGGAGGGAACCAGAGTCCATTGTGAATGTGGTATTTCTTTTACCACATACAATCTCAAGAACTAGTACCCCAAAGCTGTAAACATCTGCTTTCTCTGTAAATTGTCCTCGAACAAGGTACTCAGGAGCCATGTATCCGCTGCATGAAAATTTCATATGAAGTTGTAAATGTAGATTTGTCTTTGATAATGTCATACTGATGAAATGCATGTGATGATTCTTTTGTAAACTTACAGAGTTCCAGCAACTCCAGTGCTATGATGACTCTTATCAGTAGCTAAACATCGTACGAGTCCAAAATCAGCAATCTTCGGATTGAGATTCTCATCTAAAAGAACATTGCTGCTTTTAATGTCCCTGTGGATTATCCTTATTTGAGACCCTCCTCCATGAAGATGTGCTAGACCCTCAGCTGTTCCAACAATGATATCAAACCGCTGCTTCCAGTCTAGAAGTTTTGCTCTCTTCTCATCTGCATATGAAAGTAAAATCACCAACAAGAATTCAATAATTATTTCCCACCATTGTAAATATACTTTCAGATTTATCTGAATTTGGTAACAACTAACAAGTGCATTAAGGAAAAAGGCATATTGAGTCATGTAAAGAGCAAACAATTACCAAAAATGAACTGATCGAGGCTCTTGTTCGGAACATACTCATAAACTAGGAGGCTCTCAGGGCCCTCAATGCTACATCCAAGAAGCTTCACCAGATTCTTGTGCTGAATTCCACTGATTAGATTTACCTCATTAAAAAACTCTTCTACCCATTGCCTGGTATTATATATCAATCTCTTTACAGCTACAGTCTTCCCATTTGGAAGAATTCCCATGAATACTGAACCAGCTCCTCCTTGGCCTAGTTTCCGTGAGAGACTAAAGTAATCAGTTGCTTTCTCAAGGGTTTCATACTTGAACTTCAACCATGATTTGTCAAAACTTATTGAAATCTGGCCGAGATTTTTGAGCTCTAGGAAATGCAATAGGTAGTTATTAGATCAGAGGGCTCATGCATAAAATTGATGCTTAAGGCATTGAGATGAATGAAAAACCATTGCTGTAAGTATTCTTACTGCACATTGTGAAGATTACTCAGAGATTGTACCTTTTTTCCTCTTTGATAATCTAGCATAAGTAACATAAGCTGCTGATAGAGAGAGCATGAGGAATGCTGATGTTGCTGAAAGAATTGCTATAATGACTGCAATTCCAGAAAGCCCTGGAAAATGTAGAAGACATTCAATTTAACCAGGACACAGGACATAGAATCCAATAAAATAATCTAAAATGAACAAATAACCTGACTAGAACTTTTTCATATCTGAAAATTGATGGAAATGAATGCAGGCTTTTGAATCTTGATATTTATCAGTCCAGTGTTGAAATTATCAATCTTTTTACAAAATCAAATGCTCCTTTGGTTCTTTTCCTCTACAGATTTTAAAGCCAAGATCATCAAACTTGCAGAATTTATTTGCAAATAAGGGAAAAAAATCAAAGCAATCACATTAAGCACACTTTATTTCAACATAAATTCAATCCATTTTCACATTAAGAACAAGACTTACCATGATCATGCACTGCCTCTCCCCCTTCATTATAAAACTTCTTGGTCGAGTACCTCAAATAACACCCATTATTCATCCCTCTCCCTTCCTCCTTTGGCACGCAGCCTCTCACCGCTTTTGCCGCCTTCTGCAGGCACTTGCTACACCCTTCAGCCGGAACACTCTTCCAACACTGTGCCAATGCATACACACCATCCACCTCCACTGCCCCAAATCCTCCATTTCTCAAAGCAATCCTAGTCACATTCCCAACTGCATAATCAACATTCCTATCAAACAAATTCACCATCTTATTGTGTTCATCAAACACCATTACATTATTTGAACTGCAACTAACATTATCCAAACTAGATGAAACAGACTCTTGAAAAAAGCTGTAATTATCATAACGCAAGAAGCAGCCATCAAGAAAGATTCGAGCTGAGACAGAAGGAAGGCAACGTGGGATTCTAGTCCTTGAGGCTGCATAGCAAAGGAGGCAATCGGTTTGTGAGAGGTCTTGATGGCACTGAGCCAATGCATACATTGGAGGTGTAGAGTTGAGATGGTAAGAAGCAAAGTGGTTAGTGTTGATCACTTCTGACAAGCCTTGCATCTCTTTAACAAAGTTTGGAACAAAGTTGGTTCCATTTGGTGGGTTGGAACTCCCACAGAGAAGGCCAGCGTTTGAGATTCTTGGATCACAGAAGGAGCTGGAGATTAACAAAGCAAAGACTAACAAGAAAACCCATCTGCAGTATGGTTGTCTGGAGGCTGAGAACTGCATGGGATTCATGTTTAGCCTTCTCTTCTGCTTATTTTTTCTCTTTCTTTTTGGGTGTTTGAGCTTAATTTGTTTGTTTAAGGGAAGTGAAAGGTATGCAGAAGGAGGAATGTGAAAAGATTATTGCCAAAGTAGGCTGTTGCTGCTGGCTTGCTGCTGTGGTGCTGTTGTTAAAGTGTTTACAGCTGATTGGGAGCTCTCAGTACATTTTTCTTATTGATATAGAATTAAAACATCTTACCAACTCTTTTAAATTGTTTGACATGACAACTGTCCTGTGTCCTCTAAGGAGCTTTTACAAGTCGGTGATTTTATGCCACAAAAACCTCATTTCTTGCTGGCAACAGTGTTGATCCAAATGAGTTATTTATCATTTCAATGGAACAAATTTTCATTTTTTTTTTTTTAGAAAATCTTGTAGTCAGAGCAATTGACATTTCATTTCAATAAAAACAATACATATTTTTTATTTGAACACATTCTAACAAAAGGGTCTCTTCATATCCACCAAAATCAAACCTCTACCTTTTCCTTCTTTTTTTGTTTTTTACTCCATCTTTCAGTTTTGACTTTCAAATCTTAATTAATGGTAGTTCACCTAAGAATCTACTTTTTGGTGGCAATTGCATTGACCAAGAGTTCAAAAAACATGGGCAGTCATGGAGGGTAACCATATTCATATGTTAAAATCATGTGTGACAACCTAAAACTATATATTCACATTCTAAACTCCAAACTATACACCAAAAAAATTAATTGCAATCCTCAGTTCTATGTGAATTATGGAGTGGAAATTTTCCTGGAATATTAAAGCCAAAAGAAGATGATAAATCTACAAGTTCATCCAAAAATGGAGGTTTTGTTGGTATAGGCAATTCCATGTCTTTATGTCTTAGCATTTGAAGTACTTCAGTCATGCTAGGACGAAGAGCTGGTGTTGCCTGAGTGCAAAGCAGACCAAGTTGAATTTCTCTCTTTATTTCTTCAATATCTTCGGAACCCAAGCTTTCATCTATGATTTTTGATGTTGCATTGGATTGGAAGTGCTTCCATGCCTGTTGAAAGGTGAAGAATAGGGAAGTTTCTCAATGAAAAAAGAAGCATATATATATATATATATCAGTAGATTGATGAATAAATTTGTGAGCAAAGTTGTGGGGATTTTTACATCAGTCACCAAAGTTTCCAACAAATTTTCTGATTCTATTTTTGTGTTCTTTACTCCACTGATTATTTCAAGCACCAGAACCCCAAAGCTGTAAACATCTACTTTTTCTGTTAAGCTTCCCTTGGCAATGTATTCCGGAGCCATGTATCCACTACACAGGCAATAAATCACAAACAAATTCTTGATTAGTTGAGCTAAAATACTCTGTTTTTGTAGAGATCCACACTCAACTTATTATCCGTTTTGTTTCATAAATACTTATAATGCAAATTATTCATTTTGATCCAAAAGTTTCATTATTTTGTCTTACAAAAAGCATCTAACAAATATGAATGTAAATCTCTATGTATATCATAATGGATCTTTGTAATATCCTTACACGGGATTGAGACAATACAGTCTTGTGTCTAACTTATGAGAGAATCAAAGAGAATTATACAGATATTGGCAGATGAAACAAAAGAAAATTATTGGAACACTGAATTTTGAGTTATTTTTTTTAGTTCTTGATCAAGTTTTTTCATGTTGCTTGTTTTGGTTCAACAAAAGAGGAAGGGAGACAACAGCTCTTTGCTACTAGCCTAAATCGAATCTATAAATCATATGTTTTGCTCCAACTCTCGAATCATTGGATCGAAGGCTAATTCTTACAAGAGAACATACTTCAAACACTAACTTAATTCTCTTTAGAAATCTTGTTTGAACAAGAATTTTCAGATTTTTTTTTGGTTGAGCAATTTTTGGTTGAGTAATAAGGGATTCTTAGGTGTTATCCAGTACATTCCCTATCGAACCTATCCAAGCAAGTTTATTTTAGCCAGATCTAGCGAATTCATTGGAATTCGAGATATTTAATATAGCAAGACAGTTACTAGATCAGAAGACATGAATGGTACTTAATTCTGTAGTTACTAAACAGTTTATGAAAGTGTTACTGGGACAGCAATGTCACAAAGAAGAATATAAGATGATGGAATCATGGAGTAGAACTTACAATGTACCAGCGACAGAACTGTTGACAAGGGAATTCTTGTCAGACTCACATGAACATAACCTTGCCAGGCCAAAATCAGCAATTTTTGGTTTGTATTTCAAGTCTAATAAGATGTTACTTGCTTTGATGTCGCGATGAATGATCCGAACTTCGCAGCCTTTATGCAGGTATTCCAAGCCTTCAGCTGTTCCTACGATTATTCTATGCCTTTTTCCCCAATCTAACTCTTTCTTCTTCTCCGGATCTTTCTTCCAGGGTGCATCAAAACAGGTATCAGATTGTTTTAGTATTGAGAAAATCAATCATAGTAATTTTATGATCGAAAGAATTCATTTCAGCTTGTACTGGTTTTAAGTACCATGGCTTACCAAATAAGATGCTGTCAAGGCTTTTGTTTGCAAGGTATTCATAGACAAGGAAATTCTCTATAGTAGTGAAGCAGCCGCCTAGGAATCGAACCAAGTTTTTATGTTGAGCTCTACTGATAACATCCATTTCATTGTATATTTCATCGTTTCGACTCTTTCTGTTTACATATAAACGTTTTATTGCAATTTCTCTTCCATCTGGTAAGGTTCCCTACACAAATTTTCAGATATCAAAGAATAGAAAACATGTGTAGTTTTCCATATAAAAGGGAAAAGAGATTTATACCTTAAATACTTCACCATATCCTCCAGAACCAAGCTTCTGAGCTTCATTGAAGCAATCAGTTGCTTTCTCTAAAGTTGAAAATTTGAACTGCAAGAACTGCAGGCCCTGGTTCATTGCAACCAAGTGATCCAGCTCTTTTCCTGTATAGTAACATACATAAACAAATTTCAGATACCAAAAGAGAGAGATAAGAAAGGAAAGAAAAGAAAAGGGTCACAATTACCTTTCCGTTTGTGTCCAGAATTCATCTGTCTATAAGCCATTTTTCCCAAACATAAACCAACTGCGATCGCCAATGTGCAGATGAAAACCACGGCAGAGATGTAAATTATGAATGATACTATAGCATCTACAGAAGAGAAATTAAGCTAATTATATGATTAATCAAGACTTATAAGGAAGCTAATCATGGATTTTTCATCATATTTAAGAAATGCTTTGGGAGGCCTATTTCCAAGAGAAATAGAATGAACCAAGGTCATTGGGACTAACATCGGAGTGAACCTGCATCCGGGTCATTAGCGAATTCATATGTGGAGTAACGTAAAAAGCATCCAGCGTTGAGGGCGCGTCCCTCCTGTGATGGCATGCAATGAATGGCAGAATTGACAGCATCGATCAAGCAAGCAGAACACATATCCTTGTCCAAGATTCTCCAGCATTGAGCGATGCCATGAACTGCAGTGCCATTTTTAGTATCGTGAGCTAATCCAAAACCTCCATTGTTTGGAGCCTTCTGAACAATCTTTTGGAGCACATCTCTTAAAAGACTTTGGAAATCTTGGTTGGTGTTCACATCATCACTGCATCTCTATACTTCCATTCAATCCCCAAAGAGGAAATTCAATAACTTGTTATAAATGATGGAAACTATCATAAGGTTCATGAGGCTTAAAAAAGACCAATCATTAAAACTGCATTAGAGAAGCAAATTTGAAAGTGACAATGGCTCAATAAACAGAAGCAGAAAGCAAAAACGTATCAGAAGATAAATGAATTGATAAATTGTATTGGAGGATCCATTAATCTCATCTGAAAATCCATTTTCCATACAAATTATAGCAATTTAAGAATCATTCTTCTGCAAATCAATGAATGCCACAAGTGCCAAGCATTAAAAGAGCACATGATTTCATCTTCTTTTGTCATAAGTCTAGAAGGAATGAGAAGAAAAAAGAATTATAAGATCAGACCAAAAGAGAATTACAAATGAAATTAACTCACCTTCATATCACCTTCTGTAATGACTTCCCGATAGAAACTATAATTGTTAGCCCTGATAAAGCATCCATCAAGATAAACACGGCCACCAGTGGCCGGAAAGCAACTAGGCAAAATATTACAGATCTTGGAAAAGCATTGTGCACATTCCAAGTTAGAAAGATCATCCAAGCACTGAGATAACACATATAATTTGTCAGGTGGCTTGCCTGCTTCGCTAAATGCAAACTTGTTACGGTACATCTCATATTCCATGTTTTCCAGGATAGCTGCATAGTTCTTGAAGTACTTGTCTACGTTCTGCACCGAAGTAGACTCACATGAACGTGCAACAATGTCAAGTCTAGGGTCTGCATGAGAAAAACGGATCGAAAAGGCGATGAGGAGGATGAAGATGGAAAATGAAGCTGCCATGACAGAGAAAGGAAGAGAAGATAGAGATGGGATTTTGGATTAATTGAGAAATTCTAATCTTTTGGTTTTAGCTTTCATATGTTTTTGGCTATATTTAGCTTTATGATTTGTTTGGTTTATATATAGTATAATTGTGAAACTTTTGATGGTTAAAAGAGTTGGCCAAACATCTTTAACACTGAGATGCATGGTTGCATGTGGGGCATTGGCTTCTTTTTCAGTTCTTCTACCAGACTCTGCCTGAGCCTTATTTATTCAGACCCTTAATTGGAGGATTACCCAATTAATTAGGAGATGCTTCATTTTAAGATTTATTTATACAAAAAAAATAGAGAATAAAAACCTTCAGAAAATATGATAAGTGTAATATGACATATGAAATTAATTTTTGATTAATGAAAAGAAAATTCCATATCATCATCATACATGTGGCATCCCACATCGGTCCAAAAATTTTTGGCAAAAAATATTGCCAAGAAAAAATTTTATTTTTTCAAAAAAAGAATCCATAAAATATCTTCAAACAATAATACCTAGGGGTGAGAAAAAATTAAAAAAATAAAAAATTGATTTAAAATCGTAATATTTAGCTTTGGTTTATATTAGTTTTTTTTTATTCAATGTGGATCAAATTCAGATATTAATTATATATATTAAATTTAGATCGAAATATGAAAAATCAAAAAAAAAAATAAATTGAATCAAATTATATATGTTTATTAATTTATACATATTTTTTAATTTTTTATAAAATAAAAATAATTATTTTTTACAAAAATCTATTTAAACATATTATAAATTTTATTAAAATAATATATAAAAATAAAAAATTTAAATTAATAAATTAAATCGAATCAATAAAATTTAATTCAAATTAAATTAATTTAAAAAATTTTCAATTTCAATTCAAATTAAAATTTTAAAATTCATAATATTACACGTTATCTATAAAAGTAAATCAAATCCTTCCGAACCGATATGACCCTAATACCCAGTCAAGCTATATATATATATATATATATATATACATTTACAAAAGTCAATAACATACCCCTCAAATATAGTTTAAGTAAAACCTTAATCTTACTTAACAATTATACATTAGAGTAATTTAAATGGTTCTTAAAATTATAATCAAATCAAAATAACGATGATATATTTAAGCTTAAATTTAATTAATACAATTAATTTAAAAAAACAATAAAATTATTTCGATTTCATTCAATTATATTTCAATACTTTTATAAATTAAAAAATTTGATTCCCTTATAAATAACTCAAAATACTTAAATATTTTATTTATATTCTTATCCTTAATTCCTTATATATATATATATAAATTTGACTGTCAATAAATATGAAATTTAAGTTCAAACATTTTTTATCACGAAATTGTGATTTTTTTAATAAAAGAAGGCATTGAACCCTTTATAAAAAAAAAAAAAAAGGGAAGATCTTTTTTTTTTTTTTAAATAAAAAAGGTGCTTATGAATGATTTATTTTCATGAGAGAAACTCCATGTATGAATCATAATATAATTTAAATTTTTAAGTTTTTTTTTTATACCAAAGCTAAAATAAGCCACTTGTTAAAAATTTTTAAGTTGATTCAACGAGTTACTTTCTTTTATTTGATTAGCTATTCCTAGCCGTTGGATCACAATACCTAATGCCGCTATTTTACATTTCTCTTGCCAAACAAGCCATAAACGCACATCCAAAACGGCAACCCAGTCTCTTTAAAACGAGAGCGTGATTTAAACGCACAGTAGAAGAAAATGCTAAAACTCGTTCTCCGAGTCCGACTCTGCGGTATCTCTTCACCTGCCTTCACTATGCTGTCTTCCTCGTTTTCTTCCTCTTCGTCTTCTTCGACTGTATCCCTCAGAAACAAAAACCCTAATTCTCTTCTCTCATCTTCTTCTTCTACACTCTTCAGCAATGGAGCTCTCAACAATCGAGTCGTTTTCTCCTCTCACTTCCCTCGCGCAGTTTCCCTTCGTTGTTTTTCTTCTTCCAGTGGATTCGATCGAGTTCAAGTTCAAAACCCGATCGTTGAAATGGACGGTAAGACTATTGAATAAAACGGCAACAAATGAGAACGTTTAGGAATTATATTTTCCGCTTGTTTTATTTATTTTTCTAATTTTTAATATTAAATTTTGTTACTTTTTTTTTTTTTAAATTTTGTGATAATTAGGTGATGAAATGACGAGGATTATTTGGAGTATGATAAAGGACAAAGTATGAATATCAATTTCATAATTTTTAAATTTTTTTTCACATTTCCAGAATTATTAATACTTAATAGCCATAATGAGAATTCGTTTGTTTAATTGCAGCTTATATTTCCTTATCTAAATTTGGACATAAAATACTTCGATTTAGGGATTTTGAATCGGGATGCAACTGACGACAACGTCACCGTTGAAAGTGCTGAAGCAGCTCTGGAGTAAGTAGTCTCGGTGCAAAGCTCTTTAGACATGAAGATTGCTCTATTATTATTGTTATTATTTTGAAAAATCTACTGGATTGATTCTATAGATATTATATGCGATATGAGATGACAAAAGCTTGGGTCTCTATTATTGCATTATTAACATAATGAGGCCACTGGAAGAGACATTGTCACTCATCCATTTGTGAAAAGATAAAATAAAATGTAGTACCATGGCGATTGATGAATGTTTTAAGTCTTACTTATATTTGGTGCATAGGATGATGGATAGGATACGATGATAATCATCCTATACTTTGTTTGGTTTTTATCTAAAGAAAGGGATATGATCGCAAGGAGGATTAATCATCCTCTTGGCATAGGATAATTCAATCCTCCCAAAATGGAGAGGATTATTTTTAATCCATGGATTGAACTTACATGTCCTGTTATACTCTTAAAAATTACATCAATAATTTAAATTGTATAAATTTGAGGAAGGATAATTTTGACCAACAAATAAAATTTTCCTATCCTAATCCTTTCTCACATCAAACATAAGATAGGATAACATTATTTAATATAATCCTATTCATAATATCATTTTATCCTATTCTATCATTATCTTGTGCACCAAACACATCATAAATTACTTGAATTCTAATATAGTTTGTTGAGATGGGTTGGCATTGGGCATACATTATCTGTGTGAAGAGAAAGAAAATAAAGAAAAAGAGTAAAATATTGCAATGGTAAGGATGGTGATTTTGCTCATTGTTGAGTAATTGGACTGAGGCTGGGTGATAGAAAGAGCTTTGCCTAGGTTGAGGTGGTTCAAGAGAGAGTTGTAGAGAGAGCTCTTATTTTAGTATCTGAATGGAATGCGGTGGAATTTTTTGGTTGGTAAGAATAAGATTCTCTATCGTTTAAGCAAAAAGTTTTTGCAATAGTTGAGGAAAGCAAAGGCTTGAAGTTTTGAAGAATTTTTGGTTTCTTTATTAACATATAAAGCCTGCAGTTGTAAAGAATGTCCTTATTTCTTGCAGGTATAATGTTGCTATCAAATGTGCGACAATAACTCCTGGTTAGTAACTCTTGTGCTTTTTAAGCTCTTCAGCCTTTTGTAGATCAATGCATTTGCTTATTATATATGACAAGTATCTAAGGAGATGCTTTTTCTTTTTCTTTTTTTTTTTTTTAAATTTTGTTTAATCAAAACTCTTCAGCATTATATAATACTGAAGTCAGGTTATGTTGATTATGCAGATGAGACAAGAGTCAAGGAATTTGGGCTGAAATCTATGTGGAGAAGTCCTAATGGAACAATTAGAAACATCTTAAATGGTTTGTCCTTCATAATAACCTACTGTATGCCTCTAATTTCAGGGATAAATTTGAATGATTGGCATGCATGGATTGATTTCATTTTCCTTTTAATTGTTTAAATAGTATCCTGTTGTTTGAAAGGTTTGTTTTCTATAGGCTGTCATTGGTGGATATGTGCTGAAACAAGATTCTAATTCATCTATATATATCATGAGTTTTTAAAACAGATAAATTATGATGCTTAGCTCTAGTGCTCCCACTTTTTTACAAGATGTCTTCTCCTTGTATTTTCAGTGCGTCCTATTTGAAGGGTTGCTTCTGTTTGTAGGTACTGTCTTTCGTGAACCTATCCTATGCACAAATATACCAAGAATTGTTCCTGGTAATGATTTCTTCACACTGTGGCAACATAACTGAAATGTTGTGAAAGCTGCTATGAACTTTTTGTCCCTGTTATAGGTTGGAAGAAACCCATATGTATTGGCAGACATGCCTTTGGTGATCAGTATCGTGCAACTGATACAGTAATTACCGGACCAGGAAAGCTTAAGATGGTTTTTGGTGAGCTGATTAACCATCATTCTTGGCATGGTGCCATTTAACTAAGCTGGAAAAATCTTATTTGTTAAAATTCTAATTCTTTGCTGCATTTTGTCTTTTTTTTTTTTTTTCCTTTCTCCCAGTCCCAGAAGGTACAGACAAACCAATGGAGCTTGATGTCTATAATTTTAAAGGCCCTGGTGTAGCACTTGCTATGTATAATGTTGATGAGGTTTGTAAATTTTTTGTGTTCTTTTTCCCATACATATATATCAATGTATTATCGGAAAATATGCGGTGAATATGTAGATATATCCACATGTTTAAGTTTTTGTATACCCACCCACTATTCATGATGTGCAGAGCATTCTTTTGTTTAATTAATTTAACAAATCATTGTGTGATTTTTCAGTCAATTCGTGCTTTTGCTGAGTCCTCTATGTCATTGGCTTTTTCAAAAAAGTGGCCTCTTTACCTGAGCACAAAAAACACTATTCTGAAGAAGTATGATGGCAGGTAGTGTTTTCTTTTCTAATTTGCTGTTTTCCCCAAAATGCCATTTTATCCTGGACTATTTCTTAATTCAAGGTTTGTTTGACTTTTCATTTTTGGAAGAACTGCACAATGCTCATCTTAAGAAGTCTATTACAGGTTTAAGGACATATTCCAGGAGGTGTATGAACAAAACTGGAAGGACAAGTTTGAAGAACATTCTATATGGTTGGTTTTTGCTTTGAGTGAAGTATGCTTAAGATTTTTGTTTAGATATTTGTAAATATTTGATTGATTCTTTGGCTAGGTATGAACACCGACTAATTGATGACATGGTGGCATATGCACTAAAAAGTGAAGGGGGATATGTTTGGTCGTGCAAAAATTATGATGGAGATGTCCAAAGTGATCTGCTTGCTCAAGGTGCTGTTTGATGCTTATTCTGAATTAGCTCGCCATGCATGGTTTTTTCTTCTTTCCTTTTTTTTCCCCTTGAAGAAAGGGCTCATTCACAGTTTAAGCTTTAAATCATTTATGATACCCACTCCCAATGGCCCCATTCAGACACAAAAGAAAAAAAATATACTGAAAGGGATACTAATAGTTTACTTATGTGTTTAGTGTCCATTTTTCGAATATATCATTCATATAATATTTTTGAAATGCCTACTGAAATGAATGGATATATTTCTTCGTGGTAATGAACTAATGATCTTATTCCTTTACAAGTCAATACTCGAGTTTAAGTGGACCTCTCAGTTTTTTGTGGAGTCTAAAGACTTGTTTGCTTTATGCAGGATTTGGCTCTTTGGGCCTGATGACTTCTGTGTTGGTTTGTATCAAATGACTTTGTTTCTCATCTTTTGGCTTCTTCATTTTGGCCATTGAATGTTGCAAATCTTTATAATCACAAATTCTGCAGCTGTCATCTGATGGGAAGACACTAGAAGCTGAGGCAGCTCATGGGACTGTAACACGGCATTTCAGGCTTCATCAAAAGGGACAAGAAACCAGTACAAACAGTGTTGCCTCCATATTTGCATGGACAAGAGGGCTGGAGCACAGGTACTTTGCATTTCTGCTGCATCCAAGTAAAGTGGTTCTACATCTTCCGTTTGGAATTTTATTTGATCAGTATTTATCCTAAATGAACTCCTACACAAGTTCTTTTCTGCTTATTTTATATGAAGAATTTGAACATAAACATAAACAAAGCTTTTGTGCCTTGCATTAGTCAGAATTTTTTTGTCATGGTATATCAATTAACTTTGCAGTTTATTATTTTGCAGCTTAGATTTATTTATTTATTTTTCCATTTGTAACTATAATGGCAGCATTGATTAGAAGTCTGCACAATCTCTCTTACTGCAGGGCCAAACTAGATAAAAATGAAAGGTTGCTGGACTTTGTTCACAAGTTGGAGGCTGCTTGTATTGAGACAGTGGAGGCAGGAAAAATGACCAAGGATCTTGCCATTTTAATTCATGGACCCAAGTATGTTGCACTTTCTCTTGATGTATCATTTGTTCCACTGTCAATGCTTCCTGTTATGAACTTTACTCCCTCAATCTGATCTTTCATTGATGGTTCTTCCTTACCTTCGAGTACCACTTTGTTTATACCATATTTAAAAAGTTATATCTGTTAACATGTAACCCAAAAATAAGCTATGACTTTATAGTTACTGAGATATTCTTATGAATTCAGGTTATCAAGAGAGCTATACTTGAACACAGAAGAATTCATTGATGCTGTTGCAGTAAATCTTGAGTTGAAGCTTCGGGAACCAGCCTTGTGCAAGTAGATACTTGTATTAAGTTGTCATTCAGGTAATTCCAACGTTCAAAGAAATTTTTTTAGGCACCATGTACTCTGTTAGGACTCATTCATTGGTGCTTTTGATTTAAAATGCCAAGTAGATAGCATGGCTTCATTTAAACACAATAATTCCAACTGGCCATTCTTAGATAACATGAGTAATGAGCCTGCTTCACAAGGCACAAACCACAAACTGAATGTTACAGCCATTTTTTTTTATAATGCGAGAAGCATTTTGGAATCACTAGATGCACATTCTTCTGAAAATGGTAGTATATATTTTCTTTATTTGACATGGAATGGTGTGAATAATTCATATTTTTCTGCTGTGTAAAGCTGTTATAGTTTTGGTATCTTTACTATTGTGCATTCTCCTATGCCTGGAGCTAACAAGTCTGGCCAAAGAATTGAAATTCAAACAAGATTTCTTCCTACCGGATAAGCCTTTGGCAGGGTATTTGTTAATTTTTACTCGGTTCGGATTGTGATTCTATTCTTGAACTGCCATTTTTTTGCCATTGGTGTTTTGCATATAAATCCAGCAAGGCTCGTGTTGCTAATTTTGCTTGGTCGTGGGCCCAAATAAGTTCTGTTCAACCTTTTGAATAAAGCGTATTTTTATGCATTAATAGTGTAAAATTTTAATTTTACAAACGAATTAAGATTTTGCTTAAATTTTCTGTTAGTTCGTTTTGTTCTCTCTATCCCAATGGAAGCGTTCTCTTGTCCTCTTCCACTTAGACTTATAAAATATTAAAATTCATATATTTGAAAAATATATTTATCACAAAAATTATATGTTGTAATTTTTATATGAAAATATAAAATATATTTTTTTATTAAATTTATATATAATTATTATTAAAATTTTAAGATGTATCATTTATATATTTTATTTTTATATTGTATTCATATTGTGTTATTGTATCATGTTTTAAATTATTAGATTTATTTCAATTTTTACCTTCAGATGATGCTTTAAAGTTTTTTTAATAAAAAATATGTTAATCATTAAATAAAAGGTTCTAAGTATTTTTTTTTAATTTTTAAAGCATTAATTAATATTTTTTTGGAAGAACATCCCCGTACGAAAGTGGAAGCTAGGCCTAGTCTTCTCTTGTTGTCCGTGTCTTTCAATAGTCTTTGAAAGTCTTTGCCCACTTAGCATTATGTCCTTCAACCCTGCCTTATTACAAGAAAACAAACATTTAATGTAATTGGATTGGATACGTTTCGAAACTCAAGAAACAAGTTCGTGGGCTCAAATCGAAAAGGGCCCATCAATCGCGAAATCATCAAACTTCCCGTATAGAATCTCAGCAAAGGCCCAGATCATTTTCAAAACCTTGTTAATGATCCTTTTCCCACGTAATCGACGCCATCTTCCTTTTGCTAATACTACGGCGTCAACGCGTCTAACAAAAAGAAATTTTGAAACAAAATTTTAGGACCGTGAAAAAAAGAAGAAGATAGAAATGGCTTTGTCGAAGGCTAAGGAGATCGTTTCTGCTGATCCCTTTGTCATTTTCAGGTTTACGTATTAATATACGTATTTTTATACATACATCATTAATCATTCGTATATGAATTCCTATTTTATGGAGGAACGACATTCTTAATACCAGCTGTGCTCCTTGCCTGAGTTCTTATATCTTGCAAATACAACAGCTGTACCGTAGAAACTGAACCTGAATCAAATATTAGAGGACTAAAACTAACATTTAGAAATAAGAAACTGAGTTTGTCTGTGCTTTTTGTCTTGTTGGCCCCACTGCACCTGTGAGCCTGTGACTGTTTCTTCATAACTTGTGACTTACATGTGAGACTTAAATCAATATTTATGATATATATTTTGTGAAATAAAATTGTGAGATTTTTTAATTAAAGCAGACAAACCTCTTAGAGATCTCCACAATCCTAAATTACACCTATTGGTCCAAAATTTTGAAGGCAGTAATGTTCGGTAAATACATCTGCTCACAATTGGTTGATTGAATCTGCAAAGCAACTTTGACAAAGCCGCAGAATTTGCCCATCCAGCTTTTGATAAATACAAAGCCTACATACCTTTATCTTAAACACCGTTATGACTGAGGACACCATTTTGACAACTGGTAATGCTTGGTATTTACTATGAAACCAAACAAGCCGTAGAATGGTGGATGCACAAGGTGATGTACAATAATTGAGCATAAGGAATGGCCACCTGTAACAGAGAAATATCACTAGTTCTTGAATAAAAATGTTATGTGTATTATATCTGGAATTTGGAATGATGAACGTAAAACTGATATTACCAAATTGAGACAGAAGCATGAATGATCCACTGAAAAAATGACATGAGCACCCGTCCATAAGATAGAGTAAGAAATCTGAAACCAAGGGAACCGATATTATGTGTTGGACAGGTAAGGTAATGGGGAAGATTTTGTTGGCCAAGCCCATTTAACTAGTTGACTTTTAATCTGTAATTTGCCTTTGGTTAAAAACATGGAAGTTTGAGGAATTTTCTGCTTTCTTTCCCTTTTATTTTCCAAATGTAGATTTTTCTTACCTTAATTTGAATACAACACCTGAATATTTGCAATTTCTACATTTCCAATGATGCTGGTTGTCAAAGACAGGACATATACATTTCTGGGACTCTAGCACTGTCCTGGACATTGATTTACATGATGACGATGATGCAACATGTTTGGTTATCAGAGGGATCAGGAAAAAAAAAAAGAAAGAAACAAATTCTCCATTAGAGTTCTTCCCATGCTAATGCTTTTGCTATAGCCAGAAATCCTTATCCAGATGCCAACTATGGACAACGCTTATCCCCCCAGTTCCTTCTTTACATTCCTGGCTGAGGGCCCAAAGCAGCCCCCTGAAGCTGGTTGCCGATACATCAAAGCAGTACAATCCTGACTGCTGATGCCAATGCATTTTACTTGGAAGACAAGTTTTGTTGAATTTATGTGATGCTGTTTTCATGCCAGAATTTCCAACTTTACGCTAGCATTAGGTTTGGTTGCCTAAAAAAACCAGAGGTGAAAGCATATTGAATTGATCAAGCAATGGTACTTGGTTTGCCAGTAGCCTAGTACTTAAGGGCAGTTTTTTCCATAGAAGTAAAAGAATCTGCTCTTGCCAATTGATCTTTGGCACCAAAGCTACGCAAATATTGCTTAATTTATTGTGGTTTTGCTCAGTAAAACACAAAACGGAACTGGTTTATATGAAAAATAATACAATAGCTTTATGCCACTTTTTAAGAACTATGCTTGAAGTTATGGCTTTTAATGCAACCAATTCAGTCATGTATGCAACTCTTTGTACAATACTCGCGATACTAAGCTAGCCTTGAACTACAACATAGACGTCCCCTGCTACATTATCCCAATCTGCCTGATGATAGAGGCGATATCTAAGTCCAAATATATATATATATATATATATACATATATTTATATTTGAGGTTATCTGAACTTTAGTCAGAGGAACTAAGAGTCCAGAACTTGATCACATGGTGAATATATGCTTGAAATATCAGGGACTTACAATCTTTATCAGGGTCTAAAAGCAGAAAGAACCTAGTAAATTATTATACGTGTATTTTGCACTCTGAAGGCTGCACCAGAGGTCTCTCAAGTCAAGTTCCTGGTCACTTTTATTAAGTTTCTAACTAGGTCTTTAACTAGAAGTTCATTCATAGGATTTTGATGATCTTTTAGCTCTTTGAATCAACGCCAATGCTTTCTTCTTCCGAAAGTAGCCATCCTTTGAGTGGAACTATCTGGATAGGATATAAAAATACAACAATAAGAGGAAAAAGGCCTCTCACTTCAAGTTTAAGCCCTATAAAAAAGAAATAAAACTTTCATGCCTTAGGGACTTGTATGTATAACCAATTGGAAAGATAGTAAAATTTCATTTTCATCCATTAGTTTTGAACATTTCAAAATCACTTTGATTTTCCAAACTGATCATAAGCATGCAAAGTTTTGTTGGCCTTACTGCTGAACTGCCCGGGAGATAGCCTGGAAATACTGTTGAAAGAAGGCCTTGTTCTCTTTAAGCAACTCTTTCCAAACTGCAAAAGCACCAGCTCAAGTATGTCAAAACACTGATAGAATATATACATGCAGGCACAGAAGAGAGTAAAGAGAACCTTTACCTGTTAGGGTGATGATTGGTTCAATCTCAGCATGCTTTTCAAGTGCTTTGACACAGTCATCTCTGCTCATGTGAAAAAGCAGGCACCTCTCTATCATATGTTGAACCTACAAAACAAAATCACCCCAAAGCATTAAAAACCAGAAGTTTTGATGTTTTTATTACAAAGATATGAAAAACCCTCTTAAATGGTCACAAACAATGTACAAACAAAGCAAAAAGATTCAAAGTATCCCTAGATTTTGGGAGATAGTTACATAGTTATCTGGTGTTTTACCATTCTAATGTAGTCATGTGGCTGGCAATGCAAACAAGGGAATTGATGTTCATGGAACATTTTGACAAAAAGAGAGGAATGCAAAAAAAGTGTCAAGGCTGTGAGATATTTGTGTTAGATATTTGGACTAGTTTTATAAGGAAAAGCATAATAAGAACAAAACGGAGGAGGGGGAAGAGAGAAACTAAGAAAAGGGCTGTTATCCACAAATATCCAAGTGAAGGGCCAATAGAGCATGAGAAATCTTAAGGCTTATACTCATCTCATCTTCAAGTGATAAGGCCTCCTTCCCCACTATTTCAATTGCAGAAACAATTTTTTCGAGATGAGAAATTGTTGATGTGGACCTCTACCAACATTCATAACTCTTTTGATATTTAATCCATTACCTACTGCTTAAATTTCATATCCTTCATACTTAAAAAAAAATTCATCTCCTTAACATATATATATATATATATAATTATCATATCCATTAACAGTGTAATTTTTAAACTCGATGACATTTACCTTATAGTATAATATATATATATATCCATATATATATATATGTATATCCCTCATTCTCAACCTGCAAATTCAATGCAACCGTGGCGAACTCAAGTATACAAGAATTTCACAGTAGCTGGGCCAGGAAACTAGACCAAGGTCCAAAATCCAGTTGGGGTTCGGGAAGATTGGGTCTGATGGTAGGTGCTGATGGCGCCTCTATCGTAGATAGTCGAGCCTTTGAATAAAAACCCATGAAAATTTGTTTTGGTTGAGTACATTGTCATGGAGCAGCAGGACCCTCTATCAAAGTCCAGCCAACAAGCAAAAGTCCATGGTAAACTACATTTCGCTAACAGAGGAAGTTGAAAAAAACCCGGTTTTAGTTGCTTTCATGCTCTTCTTCTTCTTCCTTGAAAAACCTGAAACCTTCCTTCTACAACTTTTCTCTCTGAGAAATATTGCTATCTAAGTCAAAATAAGTTCTGGGTAAGTTTTTTTTTTTTTTTTTAACTTTCTAGCTTAAACTATTCAAGAAATTATTGATAGAATTTTTTTTTGTCTTATATGTGCTTTTAATGTATGTATATTTTCATGAATTTGGGTCTTCCAGGTATTTTATGCGATAGTTTATTCTTAATGGAACTTTGGGTATGTGGTCATTTTTTGTTGTTGTGAACTTGTGAATGTTAAACCAAATTTTATAATAGTTGAATGTACTTTTTCTTTGGAGGAGTAAAGTCTGGTATTTTAATTATGTATTAGACTAAATTTATCTGAGTAATTCATAAAACTAGAAGAAGAAACGAAATTGCTAAAGCATATACTGAAGCTTTTTACTTAATGCAAGTACAATTTTGTGATAACAATATAGATTGTAGCTTACCTTGAATATAGTTTCAGTCTTGGCAGGTAATCACTTTTATTGGCTCTGTATAGAATTTAATGTTTTAAGGATGTTGCTTATGGACTTTGGTTCTAAGTCACCGGACCCAGATTCTCTATATTGCGGATATTAGCTTCATGATTATGTAATTGGAAATAGTTCATGGTTGTTTGGTTCTTGAATCAGGGACTGCAAGTGGATCTTTAACAACCTCGCTTGCAGGGGCTGTGGCTCCTATAGGACATGTGTATACATTTGATTTCCATGAACAGAGGGCTGCCTGTAAGACGATGTTTTTTGTTTGTGAGAGTGCATTGTGATATTATTTCATCATTCTGATGAAATTTCAGTTTCAGAGCTTGAGTATACTGCTTAGGTTGAGCTTGAGTTCTAGTTTGATACTTGAAGTCCATTTGGGTTGATGTATTTTTAGATCTGCATTCTGTTGCTGTGATGCTTCATAGTCTCGAAATTATCTCAGTTTATGGATCTTTACTCATTTATAATGTAAAAAAAATGGCAAAGCAGTGGACTGTTGTTTAATTTTTCCTTTTTTTGGGGCATGTTTGTCCAATTATATGGTTTCTGCTTGTCTTACCATTTATAGGAAGTTTGAGGATGGTCTTTTTATTTTTTCCTTTTATTCTTTTACAGGTTGTTTAGAGAGAGAAGGCATTATTCATTCTCTAATCTGTTCATGATTTCTCTCCCTTGACAGAGAGGATTTTGAGAGGACAAGAATAAGCTCATTAGTCACTGTGGGAGTCAGAGATATTCAGGGTGCGGGATTTCCTGACAAATTTTTTGGGTGGCTGATTCTGTATTTCTAGACCTACCACAACCTTGGCTGGCCATTCCTTCAGCTGGACAAATGTTGAAACAAGATGGAATTTTGTGTTCCTTCTCGCCATGCATTGAACAAGTTCAATGCTTATGTGAAACTCTTAGATCAAACTTTACAGGTTGCTTATTTGAAACTAATTCTCCTATATTGTTCTAGCAGTATTTCTTCTAAAGCGTTAAGAACTTTTCTTAGAACTGTTCTCGCACATATGAAGTTTGTGAATGGAAAATGGATTGCTCAAAGGTTGATGATGGTAGTTCTGATGCAAGCCCTCCATGCAAGAGGGGGCAGCCTTCAAGTGAAGGAAGTATGATAGACAACCCAAGTTCTCCAGCAATCATGGCTCTTCCATCTGCTGAAGCAAGAGGGCATACTGGATATTTGACATTCGCAAGACTTAAGTGCGTCTTGTGAAAAACATTTATTCTTACCATCAATTCAACACCATACCGAAAATTTGTATCCTTGCATCCTGATTGGTTTTTACCTCACTTATTGACAAATTTGTTCATTCCTTATCATTATCTCCAGTTGTCAAAGAAGGTTCTGATAATGGTTTAGGCTCTTGTTACTTTCCATCATGTTTTCGATTATGAGGTGTACTGAAACCGTGTTGTACAGACAGTTGTGAGTACAGGATAAAATTTTTTGATGTGGGTTTTCTTGTAACAATCAAAGCTTCACCAGAATAACATTGCCATTTTCATTAGAAATTAAAATCTGGTCATACAAAATGTATTGTTCTGCTCATTCTCTTTGCAAGTCACTCTTCATATCTACCATAGAATTTTTCTTTAATTCGATTTGATTCCTATATTGACTAAAAATATCCTGGAAATGGATTTTAAGGGATTATCTGGTTGGAAATATATGCGGTCCATGATTTAGATTTCCCTTTCCAAAAGAAGCCCCGATTGCTACATCTTTGTCTGCATGGATAATCATATGATTTAAATTCAAACTAGGGAGTTCATGCGATCCATGCATTTCCAAGCTCCAGCTAATCTCCACCAAATGAAGTCAGCAGAACCTTGCAATAATTGATCATCTCCTTGGTTTTGACCTGTAATTTGACATTTTCACAACAAGAAACCATCATATTGGAAACTAAGCTGTTGACTTCATAGATTAGAATGGATAACCAAGCATTGAACATGCACCTTTACTTGAATTTGTGGTCAAGATTCTAAAAGAAAAAAAAGATTTTCCACGCTTCAGCTTGAAAACAAAACTGTTCATCAGTCTGTTGACCTCGATCTTCAATGTTCTTATCAACTTAAACACCGTTCGTCAGTGACTTCACACTTCACACTTCACTCCCAAGAGTGTGAACCAAAAGATTGATGAAGCTAACTGCAAAGTGCAAAGTAAATGCCTTGTCCTTTAATGCCCCACATTTTTGTATTCATGCAGGTTTAAAACCCTGACCTGTATGATACTGCTTTTCTCTTGTAACACTCAAAATGCAGAGCACTGTACTCGTTTTGTCTCCTTCAACTCCATTCTTCAAACCTCTAAATAGAAACCTCAACCCCAGATATAGCCCGGTATCAAACCTGTCTTCTTTAAAGCCATTGGACCGCAGTTCCATACATGGACTTTCATGTCAAAAAGCTTCTTATCATTCTCCTTGTTCTGGCTTCAATGCTCGAATCTCTGAGTCATTCATCAGTTCAAATGGAAGAAGATACGATCGTTTTAAGGTCAAAGCAACTTCAGTTCCTGAAAACATAGGTGAGACAGAGGGCTATAGTGGTTTGGGTAGAACCTTGCAGCTTGGAGCCATGTTTGCAATTTGGTATCTTCTGAACATCTACTTCAACATTTTCAACAAGCAGGTTCTATATCCTTTTTCATCTCAATTTGTGATTTTCTTTCTGTTGTCCAAACAGTTTCTTTCTAATTATTATCTAACTTGTTTTGATGTAGTTTTGATAGAAGTTAATAATGACTTGATCTCCAAGCTATAACAGTTGAAAGTATAAGAAACTAGGAAAAAAATAAGATTGCTTTCGTTAGTTTTGAATACGCCATTCACATTTGGGAAATTGTAAGGCAGATATATTTGAAGTATATGATGATTAAAAAGTGTTACATTTCAAGAACATTCTTTTTCTCCTGCAGGTTCTGCAGGTCTATACATTTCCAGCAACAGTTACAGCCTTCCAATTTGGCTGTGGGACTTTGATAATACTTATAATGTGGGCATCTAATCTCTACCATCGACCAAAGCTTACTCGTTCACAGGTACTTCTGTGATTTTCATCACATAACTACAATTCTAATCTGCAGTAAGTATTTTACAAGGCAGTTTTCAGCTTGCAGCAATCATTCCAATGGCTGTGGCTCACACTCTTGGCAACCTTTTGACCAATGTGAGTCTTGGGAAAGTTAATGTCTCATTTACTCAAACAATTAAAGCAATGGAGCCCTTCTTCACAGTCTTACTCTCAGTTCTATTTATTGGAGAGGTAAGAATTGATATATTTCTTGAACATAATACTGCTTGAAATTAGTTGAAAACAAGAAGATGTTTCTTCTGAATGCTTGAGCTTCCAATTCTATTCTCTCTCCAGCATAAGCTTTCACAGAAGTGATAAGAATGACTTGTCAAATGTCAAGTTAAAGCTTATGTGCCAAAATATATAAGCATTAAAGGTTATTCTGTAAGAATACTTGAATGCAATATAGGATAGGGATTGCAAAAGAACCCAAAAGCTGCTCCTTGGTTGTCTTTAGTTAAAGGATTTAATTCTTTTTGGTACAAAGGAGGCCGTTGTCTGGGAATCGAGGAAGGGATTGCAAGCGTTGGGATTTGAATTTCAAATATATTAGATGCCAGCTCTTAAGGTAGATGCATGAACAACTAAGCTAAAAATAACTTGGCTCCTATTGTTTTGTACTTCAGAGGTCTTTTTAATGCTATGGGCTAATTCTTTGTGTGTTAATATATCTAACACATTGCTTGTCATAGGATGGGAAAATAGCAAGCTATACCATTAATACCAGAAATTTCTCTGATTAATGTCCTTTTATCGAGACCCAAGTCGTCCAACTGTGCACAGTTGTAGACAGAAATATAGAAATCATTTCATATTTGAGAATTGTGTTCTGTTTTATCTTTCAGTCATTTAACTTCGTTTTCTTTCGCAATTTCATGTTCACAGTGGCCTACTTTCCGGATAGTGTCCTCCCTATACCAGTTGTAGGTGGAGTGGCATTAGCATCATTCACTGAGGCATCTTTTAATTGGTAAGAAAGAAACATTGTCTGAAAGGACTGGAAAATACATGTTTCTACATCTTGGATTACTCCTTTACTGAAATATGGACTATGTTCTATTTAAAACACAAATATCCTACTTGAACTTGGTTGATATTGTTTCTTAAACTTGACTAAGGTCTTGCTGTTCCGAAACAGGATTGGTTTCTGTAGTGCAATGGCTTCCAATGTGACTAACCAATCACGTAATGTGCTTAGTAAAAAGTTCATCGTTAGAAAAGAGGTAAAAAGCTAATAACTTAGGCATAAATGTACATTGATGCTTGTACATTTTAAATGTCATTGAGTCACCATTGTTTTACAGAAGAATGACATTTTAATTTATCAGATTGATTATGTCTTTGAATTTATTTATAGCATTGGTCAATTGGGCTCTAATCCTCACTTTTTTAAACAGGACACTTTGGACAATATCAATCTCTTATCTGTAATAACCATAATTTCGTTTATCCTATTGGTTCCTGCTGCCATTTTATTGGAAGGTGTCAAGTTCACTCCTTCATATCTACAATCTGCTGTAAGTAGCTATAGCATATCTAGAAAGCAAATGTTGATGTTGCCTTGAAGCCATTAAAGCTTGTTATCTCATAAATATGGTGCTGTTTTATTTTCTCTTGAATTAAGGCAAACCAAGGTTTGAATATTAGAGAGCTATGCACCAGATCTCTTCTGGCTGGATTCTGCCTCCACAGTTATCAGCAGGTAGGCCTTTTTTTTTTTTTATTTGTACATAGCAGGCTGCAGCCTTGTTATAGGGGAAAGGATTTCAAGTGCTGGGATTTGAAACCTAAACATACTTGCATGAACAAACTGAGCTAAGCTCCGGGTTTGTTAAGCCTGTTTGTGTCAATTGTAATTTGTTTCTATATCCTAAAATTATGCAGTTCTTGAGCACTCATAGTATTTATAGCTGAAGGGCATGAATGCTATAGATTGTGTTTGGCAGGTTTCTTACATGATACTGCAGATGGTATCACCAGTTACCCACTCTGTAGGAAATTGTGTGAAGAGAGTTGTGGTCATTGTCTCTTTAGTTATCTTCTTCCAAACGCCTGTTTCACCCATTAACTCCCTTGGTAAAACTGCTCATACCAATTTCTAAAACATGAAGTAATCAAATTGATATAAAATTTCTCTTACATTCTGTTTATATTTTAACTGTGACTGGTTTGGTCTGCAGGCACTGCAGTGGCTCTTACTGGAGTCTTCTTGTATTCGAAAGCAAAACGAATGAAGCCAAAGCCTAAGGCTGCATGAGTTGTATTAAATTTTGATGAAAAAATATATTTATATATATATATATATATATTCTGTATCTAATTATTTAAAAGAAACTTTTAACTCCACTCACCTGAAAATATAGTTTCTTCTAATATATACTGACAAAGTGATATCATAAAATTTGCTTTCTTAGTTTTCACCCTTATTAAGAAAAAATCATAATGGAAAGGGAGTCTCTTCAAACCGTTGGCAAATTGGCCACTCTTTAATATTCTTTTACTAACCTTAAAATTCTTCCAAGGAACCAGTCATTTTATGTGGTTTAGCCGTTTAGGCTGCGGGAAACCAAAAGCTTTTTCCTGTGTGAAAATTCACACTGAACCTGCAGGATATTATTCATTTTAACTTGAAGATATCACAATTTTATCACACAAAAAGTAAATATTGTCCATTTTGATCTGGTTGGACCTGACGGTTTTGTCTTACAAGTGTGTACTGTGACAACTTGTTTGAAATTTGGATAAAAGGTCCTTCACAAAATTATCATATTCTATTTTTATCATTATTTTGTTTGATGTAATAATTAACTAATAATCGTCCCTATATTAACATGGAAAATTTTTTGACAAAGAATACCGGAGCCTGGAGATAATTAGAGAAAATGATTATAGATGTTGAGATTTGAATGTAACATCAACAGCTCTACCCTCAGGTGCCCTGAATTATGCTCTCTCAATGCCCATACTGTAGCATGAACGGAGGAAAATAGAACCGAACACCCTGATTCCATCTCCAGATATCTTATAATAGGAGGTGACTTTGTTTCCTGGTGTAAGGACTTTGGCTCGAACATAAGCTAGCCAGCCCTTGCTCAGTCCTGGTTTCGGATGGCCTTTCTTCAGAAATGGAGCAGACAAATGGCCACCAGTACCCAGTCTCGTCAACAACCCAAAATTCAAGAGCATGACTTCGACAAAAACGAGGAAAAGAATCCATACTCGTCATTGAAATCATCAACCTCTTGAAGGTATCAGTTCCAAAGTGTCTTTGAAAAAAACCCTGCTCTCAGCCAGCATGGTTACATACCGAACTGGTACATTATAATTAATAAATACTATAATTATTATAGAGTGACTAAAAATAGTAGCCACTATAAATTTATTACCGCTAAATTACTAATTTCCTCACAAATAGACAAATATAAGCAGTGATTTTTACAGTGGAAAAGTACATTTAGAGCCTTATAACAGCAGCTTGGATACATCAACCAATATAATTAATCATCAACTATACCTATCGATCGTTGATCGGTGCAGCATATCCTAAATGATCAGGAGCAGCTTTAGGCATAGGGGGCGTCGTTGTTTTCTCAATCTCAATACAATAGCGAGAACAAGGTAAAATGGAGCCAAATATCTTGATTCCATCTTCAGGTGCTTCTTCTTCATAAAATGTCACCTCATCACCAACATTAAGACATTTAGCGACAACAAATTCTCGCCAACACTGTTGAAAAACAGGTTTCTGATAAGCTCCTACCTTGCGAATGGAGCAAACAAAAGTCCAGCAGTGACCACTGTCATCCCGAACCAGCAATTCCAGGGCATGACCTCCACAAAAACGTGGGAAAAATGCAAGACTCTTCGTTGGGATAGCTAACCTTTTCATGGTATCAGTGCGAGTCAGCCGCTTTGAGAATACGACCCTCCTCTTGATCCTTGCTCGTTTTTGTTTGGCTTTTGATACGAACAAGGCCTTCACCTCTGAATCCATGAAAGTTGAACTATTTGCGTGTAAGCTCTTGCAATACCCTTTTGCTTAATTCTCCTATGTATGTATTTAAAGGCAGAGAGTTACGTTAGCTGGAAGAAAAAGTGGTAGCGAAGCCCTCCATTTCTAGATAGCGGCGGATTCAAATGCCGGGTTTATAATGATACTTCTAAAGTTTTTTTTTTTCGTATATAAAAGTAATAAATTTTATGATAATTATATAAATTATAAGCGGATATCTTTAAAAAAAATTCTTAATTCATCGGTGCATGTAGATAATTAAAGCAACGCTTAGAAGTCCATTTCATTTATACGGAATCAATAAGTTCAAAATTTACATTAATATTATAGTTGACTGAATCTTGAGAGATGAAAGAAGAATTACTAAAGCATGGTTCACAATCTAATAAAATTTTACATAATACAAAAGAAACAAAAACAAATTTTGTGAATTTAAAACTTAATTAAATTAGTTTATACACTCGTTTTTAAAATAATACTTAATAAATTTTATGTTTAAATCTTAACATACGTAACTCTTTTACTTATTTTTTAATTTAAAATTTAATTCAATTAATTTATAAATTATTTTTAAAAATTAACATTTAATAAATTTAAAATTTAAATTTTATTATTGATAATTCATTATTTTATTTTCAAATATCACTTTCTTCTCATATATATATATATATATATATATATATATATATTCAAGGAGTTAATTTTTATCTCGGAAATTAAAAGAGCGTTCACACTAAGGAATGAAAGAACTAACGGCCAGAAATACCAATCAAACGCCATTCTAGCTTGGTGGCATCCCCATTGCCCAGTCAGGCTGTCGGTGTGGAAAATTAAGAACAATGAGTCAAGCCAAGCAATATCAATTATTGGTTGGTCAAGCCGCCACAATTTTTTTGGAGTGCTCTCACTCTTTCCATGTCTATGCCTACATTTAGTCCTAGCCACAATTAAAAGGCTCGAAAATGTAGGAGAATGGGAAGTTTCATTAAAGGAAACTTCCATTTTTATATGTGAGTAAAATTTTTTATATTAAGCAAAAATCGCCCTTCTAGAACAGTATTGACTACATGGGTCCTTAAGTAACTAAATTTGTTACGACTGCCTTATTTTTCGTGCAACTCTTTAGACAATTTTATTGAATTTATTTGCAAGAATCTAACTTTCTAGAAATTTTAGCACAACTTGGGAAAAAAAATCTAGCTTTTTATGAATCACTGTTCTGTCTTTGTTTGACATTTTGGAATTTCACTTGATTTACGCCCGTTGCGTCTCATTGGACCTAAGATATAAGTAAGCCACAAAATAATAATAATAACAACAATAACAATCATAACAAAATCAATTATCTATATGTGACCAGACGAGATTGATCATTACATATTGCTGTAGCTATTGAAATGTCCATGACTCATGCTTTAGGTAGGCTCAATTAAAGGTTCATTTGCATGGATAATAAAATTGGTTTCAATGAAATTAAATAGATGTGAGATTGGTTACTATAGTAGTGATATTAAAATCAGTGATTGGATATGCATTTATATACACAAATAATGGTGACGATGAGATGAATTATAATAAGATAAATTGATTATTAAGAACATTAAATTAAAAGATGAATATAAGTAAAATTTTAAATTATTTAATATTTATAAAATTTATTTATTATATAAAAGTTGCTAATAAATAATGAAATTCATTAATAAGTAATAAAAATTATTTATGATATTAAATTAATAAAAATATTTCAAGTTATTAAATAAAAAATCAAAATAACAAAATAAATCAAAAGTATATTTTGGTATTACAATACAAATTTATGCTTTTTAATCAAGTTTGTCCCTTTTGATTTAAGGAACGAACACATAACTGATGTTGCCAAAAACTTTGAGATGTTGCATTGATGGTTTGCTTCCATACTAGGCTTTGAACGGTATTTTTCCCTTCAAAGCTTTTATGGGTAGCCTGTTGAGCAAGTAGACAAAGGTATTAACTACTTTTGCCCAAAATTTTTTGGGAAAATTCTTCTCAAATAGCATACATCTTGCCATCTCCATGACCGTTCTATTCTTCTTGTCACTGACTCTATTTTGTTGTGGAGTGTAAGTTGTTGTGAGTTACTGTTCAATTCCTACAACTTCACAAAATTCATTAAATTTGTTAGATGTATACTCAATACTACTATTTGACCTTATGATCTTGATTTTACGGCCACTTTGACTCTCAATCTAAGCCTTGAATTGCCAAAAAATAGCTACAACTTTAGACTTTTGTTTCATGAAGTAAATCCAACACGTTATGGTAAAATCATCTGTAAAAGCAATGAAATATCTACTACCATTCAAGGACAAGGTTCTCATAGGACCATAAACATCAGTATGAACAAGTTGTAGTTTTTTAATTGCCCTATATGCTTTGTTAATTGCAAATGGTAACTTTATTTTCCTAGCTAACAAACTTCACACACTCTAGCACAGACTTTAACAATAGGCATGTTTAATATAAGATCATTTTTATGCATGAAATTCATTGTATTGTAGTTGAAATACCCCATCTGTTTATGCCATAAAGCAAATTCATCATTTGAACTAGCATATGCAGTGGAGTTTGCTTCATGCCAATTCAAGAAAAATCATTTTCCTTTCATGTTAACAGTAAAGAGTTCATGGCCAATAGGATGATGAATTATGCATGCCTTATCTTTGAAAACTAAAGAGTAATTTTTTTCTAGTAACTGTCCTGTACTTAACAAGTTTTAATATATTTTAGGCACAAATAGCACATCTAAAATAAGTTTTGTATCTATTGGTGTATCAACAATCACTACTCATTTTCTTTTGACTTTTATGAAATCATCATTGCCTATTCTGATATTAAAGGTACAGGTCTTATCTAGTTCTTTGAACATGTTGATACATATGCCATATGGTGCGTGCATCCACTATCAATGAGTTATGCACTTGAGGAGGTTTTGGTTGCATAGCAAGTTGTAACAAAAACTTACTCTTTTACTGTTGTTGGTTATCAGTAACTTTAGTTTATTGATCTGGTTGCTATTATTTTTTTGTTTTTGCATGCATTTCCATGTAACCAAGCTGCTTATAATACCTACATTGTATGTCAAGTCTATACTAATAATATTTCTTCAAGTGAGTGGTCTTCTTGTAATAAGAGCAAGTGAAAATTTTTCTTTCTTTCCATTGTTTCTAGAACCCTTGTTTCTTTATCTCTTATTTTTTTCATTTGCT